ACTATGCCGGCTGCTGATATCGGGGATCACGCCGTGGCTCCGGCATGCTGGGTGGGGGCACGGGCATGCTCTTCAGAGGTCAAGCAAGGACTGGAATTCAAGTTCAGGGCTGAGGCTCTCGCAGGGGAGTGAGTCACGAGTGCTGGTGTCCAGGCCATGACTGCAGCGGCCGGGCTGCAGCCTCCCCTGGGTCCTCCCACTGCTGTGGGCAGGCCGAGGCTGAGGAGGCCTGGAGTGGGGTCAGCCTTCTGCACAATCCTCGGCCCACCCATGGACCGGAGCCTCTGCCCACAGGACTAGCCTTTCCTGGCGGCTCCAGGCACTCCCTCCCGGCCGGCACCCAGGGGAGTGCTCACTGTTGGTCACCCCAGATTCCGGTCTTCAGACTCATCAGCTTGGACCACAGCCTCCAGCCACCCGCCCTCTGGGCGTCAGACGGGGACCCAGCCCCAGGAGCAGATGGTTCTGCTTGTTCCTCTCACAGGAGGAAGGGAGAGCAAACTCTCCTCGTCCGGGGGCTCACCATGCAGCAAAGTCACCCCCTGATGCTGCTGGCAGGACCACCGGGTTTTCTTTAAAGCAGCGGGAGGAGCGCTCTGCATGAAATGAGCACAGATCGGGGGACAGAAGTGTCAGCGCTTCTCAAGCGAATTGCAGGCTCCATGAGCCAGTTTGGTCATTTGCGGAGGGGCCTTCTGGTTTGGTCGGATCCGTCACCTGGAATCTCACAGCACAGCCCCGAGCCACGGCCACGGCGAGGGCAGCCGGAGGCAGCATCAGGCAGGTCCTGCCAACGGGCCCAAAGCCTCCATGTTCAGCTTCTCTTTTTCCTCCTCAGGCCTGGGGCCCATTTGTACCCAGGGTGCACCTTCTCTTAAACTTGCCCTTTTCTTTTCTTTCTCCTTTAACTGTTTTTTCAATGTTTTTATTGATTTTTAGGTACAGAGGAAGGGAGAGGGAGAGGGAGAGAAACATCGATGAGAGAGACACATCAGTTGGCTGCCTCCTGCACATCTCCTAGTGGGAATCAAGCCAGCAACCTAGGAATGTGTCCCGAACCCAGGGCCTCTTGGTCCCGTGGTCGGCAAACCGAGGCTCGGAAGCCACATGCGGCTCTTTGGCCCCTTGAGTGTGGCTCAGCATTAGAACCACTTCTTCAAATGAAAACTGACTTCTGCGCATGGGCCACGAAGTTTCAATCGCACTGTACGTGTGCGCCTATAGGTAATATTTTGTGGAAGAGCCACACTCAAGGGGCCAAAGAGCCACATGTGGCTCGCCCACTGCGGTTTGCCGACCATGGTCTTAGGGCAAGCATATCAGACTCTCGGGAGGGGGGAGGGGGGAGGTCTCTGAGGCCCACAGCCTGAGGCCTGCAGCCCACGCATGTTCAGTCTTAGTCCGTGGGGCGATGTTCAATCCACTGAGCAACACCAGCCGGCAACTTTCTCTTCTTTCCCACCAAAGAGAACAGACATCCTGTTCTTTCTCAGGCAAGATCGATCCTTCATAAGCCGCTTCCATTTACCGAGAGTGCGTGCCATGAGCTTTACCCACATCATCTCATTTTAACCTCAAACTCCTACTTATGGTTGTACTTCGAGCAAGGTACAGAGGTCCCATGGCTTGCCTTGGCTATGAGGTTCTCAGCGACCTCGCCACTGGGTCACACAGCCCGGGTCTGGCTGAGCGCAGAGCTCGAACCCTGGCCCGCCACATCGCCTTGCCACCAAGAGCAGGGGAGTCTCATGAGGGGAATGTGTCACCTGCTCTGCCCTCAGGCGGCAAGATCCTCGGGCTCAGAGGTGAGGGAAGGTCCCCACACCTGCCCTCGCCGAGCCCCTGCAAACAGGAGCTTCACGGGCCGGCGCTGGCTGCTCTGGCGTCCACTGTCCACAGAGAGGGCGTACCTTTTCCTGACGGGGCACGTCCCCACGGCAGCCAGATGCTCTGGCTGGGGGGAAAGGGCCTCCAGGGGACAGGTCTTCAGCTCATTAGGAGCTTCACAAAATTGTACAATTTGATGTTTTCCCCCCATTGCTGAACTACTGCACGGCCCCAGGAATTTGAAGATGCCCAAAAAGTGAACAGAGGGAAGGTAACTTATAGGACTCTGAACCGGTGATCTGTGGGAAAATTTCCTTCTCTCTTTGTAAAGGCCAGAATTAAAAAAAATGATGGTTGGAATTGTATTTATACAGGTACTGCTTTATTCATGAGCAAATCTCCAAATTACATTTTTTTTTTTTTTTTTACAAAACCACCCTGCCCAGCTGTTTGAACTGAAAGGTTGCTGGTTGACTCCCAGTCAGGGCACTTACCGAGGTAGCAGGTTCAATCCCAGGTCAGGCCATTACAGAAGGCAACCGATCGATGTTTCTTTCTCTCAATCTCTCTTCCTCTCGCTAAGCGTGTCCTTGGGTAAGTATTAACTAACACACACACACACACACACACACACACACACACACACCCTGCCTTTCTTACCCCGTGTCTTCAGGTGTGTATGTAGGCTGGGGTGAAGCGTGCCTCTGCTGCTTTTAGGTCTCGGGGATCATTTCATTCTCCCGGGCAGACAGCCGTGGTGCCATTTGCTGTGGGGCTGCCCCGGCACCGTGTTCCTTGTGCACAAACTCGCCTCATTCATTTCTTAGGTAGAATTAATGCCGACATCGACCTTGAGCTTCGGTCTCCCGCTGGGTTGGCAACACCTCCAGCCCTAAGGAACCTACACCAGGCCCTGTCCTGAGGGCGCCGCCCTGACTGCCCGGCTTCCTGGAACCGAGGACCTCACAGGAGGGGAGCCCCAGCGACTCTGAAATGCCGGCGTTTGGCCAACACCTCCGCTCTCCCGACTGGTACTTTGAGCAGGATGCAAGAGGGAGCCGGGGTGGGGGGGTGTGGAGGCCAGAAGACGCAGGTTTGGATCCTGGCCCTTCTACTCATTAGCTGTGGAAACAGATTATCGAAGCTGGAGCCTGGGTTTCTTCATATCTATGAGAGATACTTCCTTCCCTCCAGGGTGTTTGTGGGAATTAAATGACATAATGCGCAAGGGAACTGTTGAGTCCAGTTTTGACCCAATCGAGGCAGTTAATAAAGAACTGAGATCACTTCCTCCCCTGCCCCACCCCCAGGGAGGAGAGCTCCCGCCTCGGCTTCCACTGAGCTCTCTCCAGCGCCTCTGAGCTCTGCCAAAGCCTCCCGCTCGGAGAAAGTTCAGGTCAAAGCCTCGCAGGTCAATCCAGGAGCCTCGAGGCTCTCCTGGCCCTGGCGCTGGCCAGACTGTGCGCAGACACCGGCCCCCTGCCCTCGCCTTGTTGACGGCTTATGGCAGGAATAAACAAGACAAGCAAAAACACCCTTCACTCCTCGTACCCAATCTCCCCACCCGTTTGCTTATATTTCCTAAGCATTTACTGGCACATGGCACAGGCTGTGTGCCCTCAGGCCGCTCTGGGAACACCTTACATGCCTGCCTGGAGGTGTGGCCCGGCCTTCCCTTCTGGTCCCAATCTTCTCAGCTCACTCTATCACGCTGCGTTTCTGGACCAAACACCCCCCACTGCAGCTGGACATGAGGGAGAGGGAGGACTAGACATCCTGGTTCAGAAGCAGGAAGGATGTGGAGCCTTCCAGGTTTCGGATGGGCCAGCGGCCCCTCAGAGGGTCAGTTGGATCAGGATTTGTGGGCAAGGGGACCAGGCATAGTATTCGGTCTGAGCCAAGTTTGAGAGCCGGTGACTCAATCGCTGTGCTAAGGGGCTGCCTGCTCCCCATGCGTCTCACTTTATGGCTTCCACGTGGGGCCAGGCTCACAGCCAGCGCTCGGATGGTGACGGAAGGCCTCGGTCTGGTCCCGATTACCTCCAGGATCACACAGCTGTCCCGGAGACATACATGACAAACCCTTTATTGCATTAAGAAAGACATCTGTTAACTGCTGGGCAGCAGCGGGGACCGCACCTGAGGCCACTTCAGAAAAACGGCAGAGAAAAGACGGATTTTCAGCATCACAAAATGGCTAGCTCTTCCTCCTCTCCCCGTTAACATGCCTCATGGCTTCTCCCCGTTAACATGCCTCGTGGCTTCGGTCCGTTCTGGTGGGAGTTGCTGAGTTCACGTACAACCAGGATGATCCTGTTCGCCACCAACACAGGTGCGTTCCTGGCCACCGCCCGGCAGCCGACAGCGGGGGCTCGGACAGAGGCAACGCTGGGAGGCGCCAGTCCCGCCCTGTGGTGAGCCGGCTCTCGGAGGCCGGCTCCGGGGATGGTCGCCATCTGGGGCCCGGGGAGCAGACACCCTGCGGGGCTGCGGTGGCTCCAAGACTGGTCCCATCCGAGGCTGGAGGCGGCCTGGTCCCCCCTCGCTGCACAGCACATGCCCCCCCCCAGGGGGCGGTCAGCCCGGTGGCTCCTGACTCAGGGTGGGAAGTGGGGCTCCGCTCGGCGGGGGGCGGGCGCATCCAGTGGGGCAGGGGAGGACGCACCCACGGGGCAGAGCTGAGGAGCAGTGGGGACGCTGGCACAGGGACTGGCACCGCTACGTCTGAGGGGTCCAGCGTCCACCCGGGTGGCTGGCAGTTTGGGCCCACACGGCTTTCCCATCTAGCCCGAGCGAGGAGCCAGCCACCGCCATGCCCAGTTCAGAGGGACTGTCCATGCTGCTCCTGAGCCTCCTGCTCGGTTTACCCGCATGTTCTTGGGTGTCCCTGAGGGGTGCTGCTGCTATGCCCATCACATCCCGTGCCCACCCAGCCGTCACCCGGTGGCTTCAATGGGGTCGATGGCTTCCTCCACAGGGTAGTGTGGGGGCAGGCTGCCCTCCCCCATCTTTCTCCTCTCCCACCCTCACCCTGCACACCACAGGGTGCTCTGCCGATGCCCATCTGTTGGAGGGCGAAGGTAAACATTCAGGACTTCGGTCTTTCCCTGCCCTGGCCAGCATCGTCCTTGTCGTCCGGGCCTCGACGGAGGTCCCTCGGGGACCCTGCGGGGTCACTCCTGCACCAGGAAGTTGATGAGGGCCGTCCTGGGTGAGAGGAAGGCCTTCTTGATGCTGCGCCCCTGCAGGAGCCTGGCGCCCAGCTCGCTCTGCAGGACCAGCTCGTGGACTCTGTCCGCGTCCCGGGCCACGTGCTGGGGCACAGGGACTTGGCCGCAGGCTTTGTTGTTGATCTGGGGAGGAAAGCCGGGGACAAGCAGTGCTGAGGGGCAGGCAGGCAGGTGCCCAAACCCACTTCCTGCAGAGGCCCGCGGTCTGTCTGGGGAGGGAGTGCGGGAAGGAAGAAGGCCGAGGCAGCACCAGGCTTCTCGGAGCGCGAGAAATGTGATGTTGCCTTTCTGAGAGGTGTTCAGAGAGCCCTCCATAACCGACCTCCCCACCAGTGGCCCTCCCCTCCCCACTGCCCGCACAGGAACCAGAGCCGCTGAATGAGCCGAGAGGTGGAGACAGTGGGAAAGGAAGATGATCATCCTGGAATGCAGGGCAGGTTTATTCTCCCACTTTCCACCCCGAGGGCGTGAGGGTTCGGAGGGCAGCACTGGTGCACGGTGACCTCAGACAGAGGTGCGGGGGAGGAGGAGACAGGCGGGCAGGCGGGACGAGCCAGAGAGGCCACAGGCCGCCGGACAGTCAGGACAGGACAGGCCCTGCCCGCAGGCCCGCTTGCGCTGGGGCTGCGGGAACCACTCACCAGCACGGCCATCTGCACGACGTCGGGCGGCTGCAGGAACTCCGGGTCCACAGCCGGCCACGGCTGGAGCAGCACGCCGGCATCCCAGGCGTAGTGGGCGCACAGCTTCCTGGGCACCAGTGCCAGGCCTGCAGGGTCAAGGCCAGAGGGTCACCGAGCGCACGCCGGCTCCGGAGGCCGCACTGCGGCTTTCCGAGCCTGCCAGGTGCTCCCCACTGACTCCGGCCTGGCTTACGCCCAGGCTACAGGCAGTTCTCACGGGCCCGGAGCGGTGATGAATGCACACGCGTTCCGGGGAGACCGGGCTGCTGGTCCCTGCAGTTCCATCGGGGACAGAACGCCTCTGGGCTGAGAGCGGATCCCCAAACCCTGAGCCACTGGCTTCCTCTCTGGGCGGAAACTACTGTGGTCTGAGGGCCCACAGCTTCTCTCCCGCTCCAGGAGGTGTTCCCGCCAATCACGGGCCTGGAGAGAGCTGACTGTGGCTCAGGGTGGGTCAGACATGCAGAGGCAGAGGAACCAACCCCCGAGAGCCGCCTGCTGCCCCCTGAGCTGGGGCGGCCGTGCCCAGGAGCTCCGCGCTCCATCTGCACCTGCAGGGCTGCAGGGCCAGCCGCCGGTGCCCGGGCTTCACCTGGGGCGCCCCCAAAGGACAGCTCTCTGATTTCGAAGCCTCTGCAGATCCCGTGAGCACAGGAGGGGCCCCCGAATGTGCGGGACACACACAGACAGAAAAACAGGTGCCTGGGCATGACTTAAACACATAGTCAATTTTCCTGATTTTATTCAACCAATCCTCTTCCCTATTGGTCTGTGATGTTTCTTTTACAACATCTTAGAGATGGCTCAGCCCGTCTGCGATGAGGCGGAAACTCGGGTCTCAATGTGATCAACACCCCTGCTGCCTTCCTAGGGAGAGCCTCGCCACCAAAAGCTATGGCCGTCCTGTCTCGCTGTGCGCTGTGACACCCAATGCACCTTCTAAGCACGGGCCCCTCCGAGCAGCACTGGTCCGATTTATCCTGTTGGCCTCGTCTTGATTCTAGCGTTAGTACCACAGGCGTCCCTCACACAGCTCCGTCTGTTTTCCTCTCGGGCCCTCTTGCAGCCCTGAGCTGCCCGTCGATCTCGGGGAAGCGATGGCCCCTTGGGCCCGCGATCGAGTGGTGGACAGGACAGGTCCCTGGGGCTCCTGTGCTCGCCATGGAACCTGCTTTGCTCCTGACATACGTGCCTCCGGGCAGAGGCGGGAAGTAGCTGCCCGCCTGTTCCTCGGAACGGAGCCTGCTGACACGCGCATCTGAGCAGAAGGCGGAGGTCGCTGAGCGAGGTGGCCAAGGCCCAGGACGGCGGGCCCTGTGACCCAGCCGCCCGGGGAAGAACTCCAGAACCTCTGCAAGGCACCGCACAGGGTGCTGCCACATGCAAGGACCTTGGCAGGAGCTCTTACAAGCTCCCCTCTGAGTGAACGAGGAAGCCGGCCTTCCTGGAGCAATCTGGGTGCGTATTTATAGCGCTGGGCCTGCGAGTTTCCATATGGACGGAGGGGCCGTCCCGCCAGCGAGAACAGGAGCCCCTCCAGGCCCTGTGCGGATGCCGCCTCCACTCTCGGGAAGCACATGGAGAAAGTCCGAGCGCAGCTGGCAGGTGGCAGGCCTGGCACACTGGGCCGCCGTGCAGGGCCAGCCTGGCCCATGGCCCACCTCCGCCCCCTCTGGGAGAGCTGCCGTCACTGACCTTCCGGGGAAATAACCGAACCGAGCCCCTCCCCCTCGGAGAGCTGGCGAGGTAGAGCCACTGGAAGAGAGTGTGGGTGGTCAGGGGCCAACCTCAGGCACCCATGGGGGGGGGGGGGCGGGAGGGAACGTGGGGACGCTGTGGCGCCTGACCCCCCTGCCTCGTCCAGTCCTCGCGATGCCGAGGAAGTAGACAGGAAGCGAGGCCGCATCGCTTTAGCCTTTGCCCACAGCAGGCCTGGTTGCCCCGGTAACAGGCTCAACTTGTTAATACACGCGTGTGCTTGGAGCCCGTGGCGAGGACACAGCAGAACTGCGGGCTCAGCGAGTGTCCGCTGGGCCCCTCGATGCCTTGGACCGGGACCCTCGGCTCAGAACAAGTGTTCACACCTGGGACCCTGCCTGGCGCCCCCACCTGCCTGAGGGGCGCCCGCCGTGGCTGGCATCAGCGTGCAGGACTGAGGCCCGGGATGTGGCCGGGATGTCCAGGGCCGTGCTCGTGCTGTTTCCCGCGCTCGGACTTTCTCCGGGGCCTCCCCAGGCCCGCTCCCGCCTGACCTGCGTGATGCACAGAAACCGTGGTCTTTGCCGTGCAAACGTCAGGGGCTCCTGCTTCCCTAAAGGAGCGGGAGGCAGAGACCTGCACGGAACCGGTGGGGGTTTCGGTTCCTCACTGGCAGGACGGCCCATTCCCATCGATATGGAAACGCTGCTGTTATTTTCATTATTATTATAATGTTTAGAGAGAATGGACGGGAGGGGGAGAGACAGAAATATCGATGTGAGAGACACATCAATTGGTTGCTTCTTACACGTGTCCTGACTGGGGGTCCAGACTGCAATGGAAATACATGCCCTTGATCGGAATGGAACCTGTGACCTTTCAGTCCATGGGCTGAGGATCTAACCACTGAGCAACCAGCCAAGGCTGTCTGGGTAGTCTCTCAAATGCTGCGAGTGCTTACCTTTCCTTGCCTTTGTCTTCACTCTGAACGTGTTCAACCCTCCTTAAGTCCCTACCATTACCCCAACTCCCTTTCCTTCTAAATCACTACCTCCTGTCAGTGAAAATCACAACCTCCCATTCCAGGGCTCATAGAATCCATCACAGGAAGCTCCTCCTTCCGCCCCGAACCATGGCTGTCCCCTCACTAGAAGCCGGTCAGGACAGCACCCAGCCACCACTTCCTCCTTGTGGTTCCCTGTCTGCTCGGCTCCCTCCGGTCTCTGAGAGACTGAGTGACGTTTCTGGCCGCGTGTGGCCAACGGCACTTGTTCCAGCAGCCAGTGCTCTCCCCGTGTGACTTCCCGGGGCCTCTGGGCGGAAGGGCGGCGGTGAGGCCTACTTCTCAGAGGCCCCGGATAAAAGCACCGTGTGGACCCGGCACCCGAGGCGGCCGTCTCCTGCGAGCGCCTGTAAAACGTCCCAGTGGTCCCAGGAGACCACTGAACGCAAGGTTTGGGGGCCCGGGGCCCGGGGCCCGCACAGCCACCTCACTGCACCTGTCACTTCGTTCCCATTTCCGCCGGGGCCGCTGTGGGGCTCAGCGCCAGGAGGCTGGGTGCTGGGAGGAACGTTCCGCGGTGACAGCGGCGTCCACAGTCCCGAAGGGGGAGGTGTCTTCCCCTCCGGGCGGGGCGGCCACAAAGCACCACTATTCCGAGCACAGATGTCAAACCCGGGCCCCTGGCGGAGGGCATCTGAGCCCGAGTCAGGTTCTGCAAGAGGCTCGGGCACGCTCCGGGGACTAGTGACTGGTCAGGCGAGGACGCCCACCTACCTGCCCAGAGCTCGGAGGTTATGTGAGGGGCCATCGGCGCGGCCATCACCAGCAGGGCACACAGAGCGTCCTCGAACTCGGGGCTGTGGAGGACGACCCCCGGAGAGGCTTGCTGCGGGAGAGAAGAGGACGCGGGTGGAAGACTGAAGAGGCATGTGGGATACGCACGGCCAGCACGCCAGGATGCAGCTAACGTCCAGACACTCCGCGGGCTGGAAGCAGCCGTCCGGACCAGGCGGGCTGGCCTGGACCGAGCACTTTCCCCATTGGGTGACAGTGTCAAAAAGAGCTTCGGCTGACCAACGTCAAGTCCACTACGCTTACCGGAGCACTCCCTGTGCCCTCCGCCGGACGCCCACTGCCCTCTGAGGGTGGCGTTCTTACCCGAGGGGCAGCGGGAGCAGCTGAGGGTTAGAGGGGAGCCATCTCCCCGGGCATGTGTCTAATAACTACCCCAGTTTTCATCTATCTTGTAACGTGGCATGCTTAACTATACTAATTTATAAATCTCTTCCCTTGCTTTTTTTTTTTCTTCTTTTTAAAAAATATATTTTATTGATTTTTTTACAGAGAGGAAAGGAGAGGGATAGAGAGCTAGAAACATTGATGAGAGAGAAACATCTACTGGCTGCCTCCTGCACGCCCCCCACTGGGGATGTGCCCGAAATCAATGTACATGCCCCTGACCGGAATCGAACCAGGGACCTTTCAGTTCGCAGACTGACACTCTATCCACTGAGCCAAACCGGTTTCGGCTCTTCCCTTGTTCTTAAAAGCTTGGAGAGGGCTTTGTTATAAAAAGCATGTATTCATAATTTTAATAGTTAATAGTTTAAATGTGTTAATACTTTTTTTCCTTTCCTCGTGCAAACAGCTAACCCCTTGCCCAAGCTCCATCTGTTGGCAAGTGCTTCACCCGGCAAGAACAAGGAGAGTCGCCTGCCCCAAGACGATGAGCCGGCCTGCAAAGGCTAACTTCTGTTCTTAGACTGGTCTAAGCCAGTGGTCGGCAAACTCATTAGTCAACAGAGCCAAATATTAACAGCACAACTAATTTCTTTGGAGAGCCACATTTTTTAAACTTAAACTTCTTCTAACGCCACTTCTTCAAAATAAACTCACCCAGGCTGTGGTATTTTATGGAAGAGCCACACTCAAGGGGCCAAAGAGCCGCAGTTTGCCAACCGCTGGTCTAAATGAATTAAAATGTTAATGATGCCCGGGGCGGGGGGAGTGGGGGAGTGAGGAGAGACAGACAGGCTGCTTACCCAGAGGGCCCCGCTCAGGCCCATCAGGTGAGAGATGGCTGAGTTCAGAGAGAAGTCCTCCGTGAAGTTGGCAGTCACCTAGGGGTGAAAACTGAATTATTCCCTTTCTTCAGAACTCCTCCAAGCTTCCCACAGAGAAACAGTGAATCATCCGAAAGTGTGAGTTAAATGAGTGCAGTCGGAGCTATTTACACGTGTTCACGGGCTCGACTCTTCACGCTAATGTGTCACCAGCACAGAGAGTGTTGAAACCACAGCGGGGAGGTGCTGGTTCTCACGGTGGGTCCTAAGAAAACCGGGGAGGAGGAGGGACCCCTGATGAGCAAACACAGGAACCAGAGCGGACAGGAGACGGAGAAAGGACGCATTTCCCCTCGGCCGCTCGGCTTTGATGCCCGAGGAGGAGGATCAGCGCACGGGACAAGGTTAGTTTCTGTTTTCAAATGTGCAGTCCACATGGGACCACGAATACGACTTGTCAGCTTTGTCGTGTGTGTGTGTGTGTGTGTGTGTGTGTGTGTGTGTTTTCCGGTTTGGGCCACAGGCAAGGAGATAGAGAAGGAACACATCTTTAAGATGTCCAGAGTTCCTGCTGTGTTGAAATAACCCACTTCTATTATCTGACAGGACAGGAGGACTTGCCAGGCCCCGAGAGAAAGTATGTGGAATGAAAACAATCCCTCAGGCGCCACTCAGAGCACCAGCGCGCGCCCTGCCTCCGGCCTCCACGCCAGGGGACGGGGCGGAAAGGAAGCCGAGGTGTCCCCAAACGAGACCAGGCTGGACCCGGGGCCACGTCAGGTTACACAGCCAGAGGGGAGCAGCGCTTTCCTTCAATGTCATCGGCTACCAGCGCCCGGAAGTGACCGTGGCTGACTTTATACATTAACACAAAACAAAAACCCCCACAGCCCGAGGAGCATTTGGGGTCCCTGGCATCCATTAAAAATGGTTTCAGGGTTCCTCAATGCCTCCTTTAGAGGCTGTGACATTTCTACCAACTCCCTAAAAGGCGACTGTGGCCTGGTGGCTCAGTTGCTTGGAGCGTCGTCTCGTTCACCAGCAGGTGGCAGGCTCGACTCCAGTCAGGGCACATACCCACGTTGTGGGTTAGACCCCTGGTCGGGGCACATACAGGTGACATCACTATTTCTCTCCCTCTCTCTTTCTCGCTCTCTAAAAATCAATTAAAAATATATTCTTAGGTGAGGATAAAAAAAAGTTCCAACTAAAAAAAAAAGGCAAATATCATTGTATTAGAACAGATCCCTAGATTTAAAAAATTAAAGGTTTTTTTTTTTAATCAATGAAGAATATTTTTAAATGTTTAGATAATAATACACTATTCCCTAAGAATGTAACATGAATAAATCACTTATTTGCAAACATTAACCCACAATAACTCGCACAGATACTGTGTGGCTAAGTCACTGGCTGGGCACGTCCCGCACCAGGGAACATGGGTTCTAGCCTCTCGGTTCCTCACCAGCTGTGTGACTTTCCGCAAGACGCTGACCCTCTCTGTGCCTCTTCTCTGTCCCCATCTGTAGAATGCGGATGCAAAAGCAGAGAGTCCTTCATGCCCTATGACCTCTCCAATTCTGCTTCTGTCGCTCTAAGGTGCTAGTGTGGTCAGCGTGATCCTGAGCATGGGTTAGGTGTGGACACATGGAGAGCGGGCGACTCCCTGAGGCCCGATGGACAAATGGCGGGCCATCCTCAGAGGGGCCCCTCCGGAGAGCAAGTCTCCCCACGAGAGCGGCTGCACTTCCGCTCCGCCTCGGCGAAATGTCAAAGCAGCGGACGATCACTCAGGCCAGTGGGGCCACCCCGATGAGGAGGAAGACCCACGCGGGCCCACCGGGAGAAGGCGGCCACGCAAACCTCGGGTGAGAGTCCCCGGGAAGCCGCTGACCTGGGAGATGATGGTGTTCTTGTACGCCCAGAGCTTGCGGGCCTCGGCTCTCTCCTCGCTGCTCAGCCGCTGGGGCCTGGGACCCTCTCCGGAAGCCCTGGCCTCGATGAAGCGGGTCGCCAAGGACCACAGCCGCTGCTGCCACCGCAGCACGCCGGGCAGCGCGTCGGCTGCGGAGGTGTCGGCAAATGAGAGGGAGAGAGAGAGACATGTGGGAACGAATGGGTTACTCTAGAGCTTCGAAAAGCACCCGGGAACTGCGGACACACTGGGCTGCACCCCGGGGATGGATCCACGGGCAGGTGGGTGGTCCTCTCTGGCCGCCAGTGTCTGGGAACTCAGACCAGGGCGATTCCATCAGATCTCAGTGACCCAGACGCTCTGAGCGCCAGGCGGCGGGGCTGCTGAACGCGACGCCCAGGCCTGTCCCTGCCCCCTCTGGGGAGCTCAGCTCAGCTAGGATGTGCGTGCTGTGCGCGCTGCCTGTGGCACCGCAGGGAGCCTGGGACACAGTCCCATCTCACCTGGGCAGGTAACACCAGGGCGGTCTGCAGACCGCTGGGAACCAATCGCGCACAGCACGAGCTGTTTGCACACGACGTGTCCTGGCCAGACGTGTGGACTGCCTATGGCAACCCTGCTCATCCAATCTGGGTGCTGGTCTGATTGCCAGGAGAAGCTGAGCGCCTCATCCCGTCGCCCTGGATCCAGGGTCAGCCAGCTGAAGGCCGGGCCAGCCTTTCCTCTTGGGCCGCTGGACGAGGCGTTCCTAAGCCCGATGCACACGGACCTTAGGGAAGGCTCGCTAAGGAAGGAGCAGCTGCCTGGGGGCCGCCTGCAGGGGGCAGCACTGCGCCCCCAGGTCTGCACTTCCTCATCCTGGGCTCTGATGCTGCAGGGCCAGCACTGGTGCCTGTGACGGCCCCTCCAGCCACCTGCTCACTACAAGTGAGGGGGCAAACTGGGGGGTGACCCAGGCATCCGCACGCATCTTCCCATCACACCTGTGAGGCAGGCCACCGAGGAAGCGTGAATGGCCGCTGGACAGGTACCCAGGACACCCAGATGATCTTACATATTTATTACACAGATTAGTTGTAAGTATGTAATATGCATGCCACATAATACCCATGCTAAATGTGTAATGTTTATGAAAGATACATATGCTATTGATAAGAATATGACGTGTATGTATAGTAATAAAATAAATCCAAGGTCAGTTTCCTGCGTGCCCTTGTAGATCTAAATGGCTTCCCCGAGGGGGCTCTGGAGGCTGTGGCGACCTGAGAGGTCACGTAACAGCAGGCGCAGGCTCAGGCTCAGGCCCAGGCCCAGGCCCAGGCCCAGGCGGGGTTCCTGCACTGGTGAGGGTGGTGGCACTTCTAGAAAGACCCTGTCAGAGCAGATCAGGGGCCCAGGGGCAACATGGAGGCCAGTCTGGCTCCAAGAATATGCTCTCAAGGTGGGGCCTCGTGGAACCCGGGTCCAGGCTCCTGGGCCCGCCCGGGGCCGTGGTGGCCGGAGTGAGGACGGGGGGCTCATGATGCCAACGAGCTCCCGGGTGAGTGGGCAGCTCATTCACCTGAGACACGGGGCTCCCAGGGGCACCGCCCTGGCCTATGTGGACAGACGGCCACTCGCCTCATGGACCCACAGAGCCCTCTCCCACGGCCTTCGGCGTACAGGCTGATGGCAGAGGGGGCCGGGCAGGAAGAGGCGGGCGACTTACTCTTGACGTCCCACAGGATGTCCTTCTCCGGGGGCGCGGCGAAGAGTAGGTAGAGGCGCACCGTGTCGATGCCGTACTGCCGCACCACCTCCTCGGGGTCCACCCCGTTGTGCTTGGACTTGCTCATCTTCTCCCACGTCACCTCCAGCTGCTCCTTGGTTTCGGCGTGAACGGGGACAGGACCTAGATCCAACGTAACACGTAGGTACGGCGTGTGCAACCCTGACCTGGTTCTACAAACGGAACTGGTTCTATGAAAACGCATTCAGTAAGAGAATAGTGGGTGAGCAGTGACAAGTGCCCCTGGGAACCCCAATAACTCACTGGACAAGCCCCTCTCGCTCCATCCGCATTATATTACAAAAAAAAAAAAAATGTTTTTACGTGAATAAGGCTCACGTCCCGCCACGAATCTTCCTTCGCGAACATACAATTTTTCCCTCAGCCACAAAATAAGACAAGGCAATCTCTCCTTTTACAAGAGTATGCACCGCAAGAGGAACTGAGAAAGGATGAGGAGGAATCATGCGCATTGCCCTCTTCCTTGTGGATTCGGGGTTTCCTACGGGAGCTGGCGCTGACCAAAGGCTCTCGGAGCAGCACAGCGTCCTGCGTCTGGGCCACTGGCCGCCAGGCCTGGTCTTGGTGTCCACATCTTAGTCACCAGTGATGGCGCACTGTCAGGGCCACGGAGCTAACGCAGTGGGCTCACAGGAATGTGGTCCCTCGGTGCTGTCAGCGCCACGGCCCGTTCTGGGAAGTGTCTCCTTCCCACCCACACGCAGTGGCCCAGATGGCAGAGGCGGAGGAGGCCTGAAACGGCCGTGTTTGGAGGAGGTGACCTTGCTCCCACGCCTAGCGGCTGGGACCAGGAAGGACATCTGGCCGGGCTAAGCCTCTTTCTCAGGGCCTGGAACTAGGGGACAGAAGCTGTTGGGATGGCGCTGGGCACCGCAGCCATGAAACCTGGAGAGATGGGGCGAGACCTGGCACGGTGGCTCCCTAAGGCCGCTCTGCAAACGGAAATCAGGGACGAGCAGAACCCAAGCCTGGGAAACAGGACAGAGGGCAGCAGGAAGAGGAACCCGGGGCGGAGAAGAGGGAGGAGAGAGGAGGGGCCTGGGGACGTCCCCCACGGGGTGGGGCTGCCGGTATTTCCTGCAGCTGCGTCGGGGTGATGCCCCCACATCCCTGTGCTAAACCCATCCAACGCCCACGGGACCGAAACATGTGCCTAAAAGCCAAGTCCACACTGCAGGAGAGGAGGAACACACAGGAAGTGGACTGAGGCCTACCCCGCTGACCAGATCTTCTCCCGGGGACACGTCTCCGTGAGAAGGGAAAGATGCTCACAACAGGGGCCTCGGGCAGAGGGAGGGGTTGGGTGCAGGCTGTGCTGAGGCTCAGGGAACCTGCTGTGCGAACCGGGAGAACCAGGAAAAAGGCATCTTCCCGGGCAGGAGAGCTGAGGACTTAAAATGCCCCCTCTTGGCAGAGGTGGCTCTGAGTGTCTAGCCTGGTACGTGGCTGGCTGGCAGGCCCTGCTCACGCCCTTGGCTGCCGCCTGTGTGCCCGGACCACGTCCCTCACAGCTGGATTCTGTGCCCTGGTCTGCGCCGGAGAAACACGGCCGGTTTCTGCCTCTCCAGCTCCGTTCTCTCTCACGGCGACCACTGCTATCCGGGCACGTGACGCTCCGACTGGGTCAGTCACCTCTGGCTTGGCGTGGGAGGCTGCGGGGCTGAGGGGTGCTGGCTTCACCTCATCTCACCCACTGGGCGCTGGCTTTCTAGAGAACCTCAGGGCTAGTGGTTCTCCAGCTGCCTCTGTGCCACCCTTGCCCCTCCTTTGGACGCGTGCGGGGTGCACAGGACATTGCTCACCACGCCACCTACGGAGCCGGTGAGGAGGAGCGAAGCACAGGGTGGAGGGAGAGGCTCTGGAGAGCGGGGAGGGGAGGCCGTCCAGGGAATGAGGGAGGGCGCCCACCAGGCGGCGCTGGACCTGGAAGGGGGGGGCCTCTGGGGGCCGCGGGAGCAAGTAGAGAGGTGGCCCCCAGCTCCTCCAATGCGCCTCCAGACCACGTGGCAGACACGTGGGGGGACCCCAGTTTCCTGGCCGGGAGCTGTCCCAGAAAGGGGCTGTCAGACACAAACTGGGACGAGAGGCGACGCCCGACTGGCTCCATGTTACACACGGATGAACACCCGCCGTAGCTAACGGGCCGGATTGGCTGGGGCTGAGCGGCCGACAGCCAGGCCCCGCCGCCGGCAGAGGGCGGCTCAGAGCCGGCCGAGGCTGAGACCGGGAGGCCCTGGCCCCTCTCTGGCTTCGCACCCAGCCAAGGCCCTTGCCAGTGGCCCTCAGGCCCGGCCTCGGTCCTCTGCACCCACTGGATGGGACCGGCTGGGCCACTCTTACCTGTGAGATCGACCTCCTCTCGCTGCAGATACTGCCCCGATGGAAGGCGGAACGTCTGCCCCTTGATAAGGCCCTGGGCCAGCAGCTTATGGAAAGGCTCTCTGAGGAGAGACAGCAGGAAAAGGGAACTGGTGGGACAGGTATTCACAGCAGCTGGAAAACAGCAACTGGAGAGAGGGGACCACCCTCTGTGAACACCGCCACGTGCAAACCCACTTGAACAAGTGGCTCCTGCTAAGTAAGTGTAAGAGCCCTGGCCGGGCCGCTCAGTGGGTCAGAGCGTCGTCCCAGAGCGACCTCCAGGCAGGGCACATAGAGCAGCAACCACGAGTGTGTTCACAAGTCGATGTTCGTTTTTTTCTCTCTCTTTTTTTTAACTTTCTCTCTCTCTCTCAAATTTTGTAAATAAATACATAAACAATCAATACATACAATTAAAACAAATACGTGGTAAAACAGTGGAAGGTCAAACCAGCAGGCACTAACTTCCTTCGGGAGGCTGGCTTTGAGTCTCCACTCTGCCTCTAAGGAATTCTCTGCGCCAGGGCATTCCCTTGTCCTCAGCATCAGGGCTTATCTAAGGGGAGGCAGCAGAAATCTGCCTCCCAGGGCCCTTGGGGAGACGGAATGGAATGACCGCGTGAAAACACTCGAAAGGTGTAAAGAGCCACACGGATGCCGCTGCGTGCCGAGCGGCCCGGGGAAGGGCCAGGAACACGGACGTTCACGCTGGGGCTGTCTGTAGTCACCTTCCCCTTGGCCTTACATTCAGGGCCTGCTTTCGACATCTGTAACTCAGACAGATCATACAGGAACACACGCTTTCTGTTCATCAAACACCCCCCGCCCCCCCAGGCCTACTCCCCTCTGAGGAGGCAGTGATTCTCAGTAGTCTGGTGAATATTCTGGAAAAGTCTGCAGACTTTTTCCAAAACCTTTTCCATACAAACCTGTAGATGCGCATATATGGCTGTAGAGACTTCTGGGTGGATTTAAATCGATCGTTGCGATCATAGTGTACATTACTTTGTGGCATTTCATTTAACAACATGAATGTCCTTATCCCCACAGCAGTCCATACAGATCTGTTTCATTTTTTATGTTATTTATTTTTGTTAATCCTCACCAGAGCATTTTTTTCCATTGATTTTTTTTTTTTTTTGGCGAGAGTGGTAGGGAAGGGGGGAAGAGAGAGAGAGAGAGAGGGAGACATATCGCCTCCTGCATGTGCCCTGACCTGGGCAGGGCATTAAACCTGCAACCAAGGCATGTGCCCTTAACCAGGAATCGAACCCGGGACCCTGCAGTCCACTGGCTGATGCTCTAACCACTAAGCAACCGGGGAGGGCATGTAACTCATATTGAAACACCCATCTCGTGTTCTACAATATACATGGATTGTAATTTATTTACATTGCCTGTGTTTTTTGTTTTTTATTTCCTTAAAAAAAAAAAGTAGCTTTAGTCACACCCTTACTGGATGAATAGTAAAATACAAACTTTTGCTCTAAAGAGGACAAGTCGAGGTTGACCCTCACACTGAATCGCTTCCTTTCAGATTTAAAACATTTATTCTGAAGAGTCCGCCTGGTTCAGCTTTGCGGCACGAAGGCAAGAGCTACTCTCACTCCAAGAGTGACCCATGGAGACGCGGCTGCTCCCAGTCCGGGCTGCACGTCCACAAAGACGCGGGAGGCGCAGTGGTGTTCCCACGCTCGCCGCCGGCAGCCTGCCCTCCCTCTCCACACGCAGACCTTGGGCTCCGGGTTCACGTACACAGAGTGGCTTTTAGGTCGAGGTTCAAAAGACCCGGTACCTTCAGAGGCGGCACCGACCACAAACTGCTCTAGTGAGGTAGGCGAGAGGGCAGGCTTTGCTGATTTCACCGTCCCTCATGGCCCGCAGCCTCTGATGCAGAGGAGGACCCTTACTGACCAGGCCTCTGGACAGGCCCCGGTCTGCACACTGCACAGCCCCTGTGGCTGCGTGGACAGAGGTGGTGCAAAGGGAACTTTCCAGGGGGTCGGGAGAGGGGGCGGGAGGGGTAAGAGTGGAACAAAGAGACTGAGCAGGAATGAGATGAGGGTCGGCTAGAAAAAAAGGAATCCTGGCCTGCGTATTTTATAACCTTGTTATGAGCAGCGTTATGTGTGCACAGGCTGCTGCCCGAGCGTAGAAACAGAGCGAAACTTCCCCGCAGCAGCGCTGGGTGCGGGAGGACGCGGGTAACTTCCCCGCCTGCCAGGCGCGGAGGATGCGCTGGCTGCTCCCTCGATGCTCCTGCGCTAGTGTTCACCGTCTTGCCTCTCGGCTCTCACTGCGAGTCCCTGGCTTTGGTCACTCTTAAGAGAGATTTAAAAAAGATGTCTTAGGGGTGGAAGGAGGGAGGGAACAATCCAGATTCCCAAAGAAAAGATCAGTAGCATTTAATCATCAAGAGAGGTAGGCGAAGAACGGAACCCCTTCTCTGTTCTTGCAGTTTATCGAGTGGCGCAACGCCGCCACCTTCTGGGACCGAGCGGAATTGCAACCTGCCTGCATGCGAGCCTAACTCTAGCGGGCCTCAGAAACGTGAACCTCTTTGTTAATCCTCATCAGAGGATATTTTCCCACTGATTTTTAAAGAGAATGGAAGGGAGGATATATATATATATATATATATATATATATATATATATATATATATATATATATATATATATATAGAGAGAGAGAGAGAGAGAGAGAGAGAGAGAGAGAGAGAGAGAGAGAAACATCGATGTGAGAGAGACACAACAATTGGTTGCCTCCAGCTAATTCCCTATCTGGGACCAGGGATTGAGCCTGCAACTATGTGCCCTTGACCAGAATTGAACCCGAGACCCTTCAGTCCACAGGCCAACTCTCTGTCCACTGAGCCAAACTGGCTAGGGCAAAAACATCTGACTTTTACTTGCAGTTCAGCACACATCCTGAAAAGCATATAAATCCTAGGGGTCAAACTTGATGAATTTTCAAAACATAAACACACACACTGGTGTAACCAGCATCCAGGTCAATGACCAGAATGTTCCAGGGGCACCACCGTGGGCACCACCAGCCTGGCTGCTGATACCATGGCTTAGTTCTGCCCGTTTCAGAACCACTTCTGGCCCTTTTGGAGTGCGGGCATCTCGGGCGTGTCCACCCTGGATGGAGGCTGTACCCCAGACCTGGCAGGCGGGACTCAGCGGGCAGGGCAGAATCAAGCCTGCTCCTTGCAGGAGTCGGTCTTAATTTCTGAAACACGGGGACACAGCTGGTAGCTTAGGCTCACTGGGCCCTCCTCCCCCAGCCATCCTGGCAGCATCGCCGGGAGCAGGGATGGTGGGACTGCCCAGATGCCCTGACCCCTCTTCCTAGACATCTCAGACCCTGGCAGCTGTCCCCGACTGCCTCAGACTGAGTGTCAAATTCTTCTTAGTACCACACTCTCAGAAAGCAGAGTCACCATGTGAATTGATGATTTTTATCCAACAGGTGTCTACTGAGTGCTTCCTATGTGTCTGGTGCTGAGCCAGGCCCTGGGAATGTCCTGGTGGGCAAAGCATGCCCATCCTCAGGGAGCCAGCCCTGGGCTCTCCCTGCACCAAACCACTGCCCGAGCACCCTGAGAGCTGGGTGTGTGTGTGTGTGTGTGTGTGTGTGTGTGTGTGTGTGGTGGGGGGAGGGGGCTTTTGCAGGGAGAGGTACACTGATAGATTTCAAACTGTCAACTTTAAGCTCGAAGGAGGAGCAGCAGGAACAAGGGAATGAGTGGGAGAGAACCCTTTTGCACGGAATTTCATAGTGGGGGAGGGGTGCTCCCCAGCTCCTGAGACTGCTCATCTCTGTGATCCCTGCTTGCCTCTTCCAGGGCCCCAGCGGGGCTTCACAGGCCTGTGCAGGGAGTCTGGTTCTCATTTTCTTGGCTGAAGCCAGCCACATCCGCCCCCATGTGCAGTTAGCTCTAAATGAGGGCTCACGCTTATTTATTCAACACACATCTGAGCAACAACTGGGTGCAGAGCACTCTGCAATCCATCAGAAAGCTCACAGTAAAAGGGGCGCCCGAGACACGCTCATAAATAACACTTGGCAGCTTCAGGAGGGCACCGGGTGAGATACCAGGGGCATGGTGCCGGGGAGGGGGTGAGGTCAAGGGGATGTCAAGGGCCCTGCTGGACTCGGAACAATCCAGTTGGAGCAGAGATCACACCACATTGCCAAGTTCATTATCGAGATGCACAGCTGGCGTAAGGCACTCCCCATTTGTTTGTGCCTTCATTCACTCATTCATCACAGTGACTGTGGAGGGGGGGGGGGGGGAGGGTGGTGTTTAAAAGAAAGCAAAATGCCTGCAACTCTAAACCATCAACAAAGCCCTGACTGGAGACCATCAGAGTGGGGGCGGCATGCAGGGCGGCTGCCTGGAGGACAGCCCTCGATGGCTTCGTTTCACGAATTCACATCTGTGCGCCTTGTCCTGAGGGCTTCCTCCTGCTCCTTTCACACCCCCGCTGGGGGTGGGCTGCGTGGCTTGCACTGCAACGCAGCTGCGGGCGTGCGGAATGGTGCATCTTTGTGCTTCCTCCACTGTCTGGACTGCACTAACTCAGAAATTACAACTGTTCCTCCTGGCCACTGAAGGCACCTTTATCCCACCAAGAGAGAAAGGGAGGGAGGAGAGAAGGAGGGAGAGATGGAAAGGGAGGGAGTTGCTAATTAATAGAACAAACAAGGAATTCAGAGCATAACTGATAGGCTCTTTTAAACACCCTTATGCAAATCACTGCCTGCAGGAAATCCGCTAAGTAAGACGTGGCTAGGAGGGTCCCAGGGCTCAGCAGGGCCCTAAGCAGTCACTGTGGACAGCACTGACCTACTTAGAAAGCCCCTGAGAGCCGCTGCCACCTTCGGACAGGTGTGGTGGCCGGCCTGTGTATCTTGGAAAAAGAAAACAGGAAGCCATGAGTCTCTGAAAACATCTCCAGCTTGGACTTCCCAGACTGAATTCACCTCCGCATCTTGGACCACTAGGTGCACAGCGTCAGCCAGTTTCGAAGCTTGAAGCCATGGCTCATTCTTAAAGCATCACCGTTTCTGTTTCCTAGCAGCCGGCCAGCAGCTCACAGGGAGACCTTGTTATTACAGGGAGACCCATCGAAGCTTCTCTCCTATTCCCTTCCCTCCCCACCCTTCTCCCAGGAGCCCGCTCCTGTGTGGCCAGAGGAGCAGGAGAGAGCCCAGCAGACAGGGCCTGCTGAGCTCCCAGGGTCAGCAGAGGCTGCTAACGGGAGCAGCGAACTGTGACCTCCTGGTTCCTGGGTCAATGCTCAACCACTTAGCCACACCATCCGGGCATCAAATATGGTTTTAACCCACTGAGAAGTCACGAAAGCAGCCAGGCCTTTCCTATACTTTAAAACAGGCAGCATTGCCGAAACCGGTTTGGCTCAGTGGATAGAGCGTTGGTCTGCGGACTGGAAGGTCCCAGGTTCGATTCCGGTCAAGGGCATGTACATTGGTTGTGGGCACACCCCCAGTGGGGGGTGTGCAGGAGGCAGCTGGTCGATGTTTCTCTCTCATCGATGTTTCTAACTCTCTATCCCTCTCCCTTCCTCTCTGTGAAGAATCAATAAAATATATTTAAAAAATAAAACAGGCAGCATTGAGTGAGCCATTGATTCAGTTACTTCCACAAAGAGCTGCTCCGAAGCTGGAGCAAGGTGCCCTGCCGTGAAGGACAGAAGTCACTGACAGCCTTTGTGTCTGGACCCACGTGGGACACCGGGCCTTTGTACTTAACCTCTATCCGATCTGCCCACCCCAAGGGGAGCCCTTCCTCTGAAGAACAGAAACTTGTGTCTGTTTATGTCAAGGGTTCAGCTCGATTTATTTAATCCCGGCCCGCAGGCTGTGTAAGTCCTGCGAAATCACATAGATAGAGCAACAGGAGCCCTCGTCGCTGTGGAGAGTGGGTTTATGTAGCCAACATGGTGTTCCTGAGTCAAGCTGAACATGTGCAAACCCCACAAGAGGCAGCTTTCCTCTTAGGGACACCGCCGAGAACCGCTTACAAGTGGGCCAGGAGTCACGTACAAGAATGCTCACAGCAGTTTGTTCAGAACCGCACCAAACAGCCCAGCGCCCGCTACCAGGGGTTTGGCCACATATCAATACATCGGGTTCTGCATTAGAATCCATTCCCTGTAACGGACACCGCAGCGCGAGAGAGGAACGATACGACATCTGTGCAGCAACGTGGATGAACCAGGAGTGTTGAGCAAGTAAAGCAGGACAGAGCACAGATCCTATGTGAAATAGGATCCTAATCAACACGGGAAAACTAAACAGTGCATATTGTTTAAATATACACACACACACACACACACACACACACACACACACACACCAGATGCCTCTTGCAGGAAGATTCCTGCTATAGTCATTGCCCCGCCTGCTTCCCTTCCTTCTCCTCCAATCCGATCCGCTTGGCTTCTTTCTAAACATCTTTATGCAAATTAACTGCCATCTTGATTTGGTTAATTTGCATACTTGCCCTGATTGGCTGGTGGCGGGGCTTGTGGGCGTAGCAAAGGTGTCAATTTGCATGTTTCTCTTTTATTAGATAGGATACACACACACACACACACACACACACACACACGTATATACACACACACATACAGATGTGATACATTTATAAAGAAAAGTAAGAGAGTGAATAATTCAAGATTCAGTGCAGCATTTGGTTTGCTGGGCGAGGGGTGGTGGAGGAGGAAGAGGGATGTTAGGATTGGAGAGGGCACCCCGGGACTCCAAGGAACCTGTAACTCTGTTTCTTAAACTGAGAAAAGGTGCATGGAGCTTCATTGTATGCTTTAAGTTGTTTAGAACATTAAATACATATAATATATATATGACATACTTCATGGGAAAAAGCACACATACATCTTTCTGAACATCCTGGGGAGTAGATCACAGGCCAAGAGGAAGAGAATTTATAAATGGATTCATAATGTGATTCCCTAGCTTTTAATCCGTTACATATTTTTATCAGAGTGATATATTGAGGCAGGATTCAGTCCAGCTTGGAAACGGAGCTTAGACCGAGGAGCTAGAAGATAAATATGACCGAACCTGAGAAGCGACAAAAAGCTGTAGTGAAACTCATAAACCGCTCTCTCTGCCTCTCAAGTAAAAATCTCAGACAGAGAAGGGCTGAAGGCAAGATTTGATGGGAACATGCAGTACCACCTGCTACAACAATTAAGCAACAGACACACACTTCCAGTGGTTCAGGCCGACCTGACCGCTAAAATATACTCGAACAACAGAATTCTGTGACATACACACACTTACTGGCTTCAGTACAGATGCCGGCTTTCAGTTGCTGTTCATGGTGCTGAATTCTTTTGCAAAGCGACCTGACTGCTCACCTGTGCTTGACCATTTTCTGATCGTGGCAGAAATGACTGAAGAATCTCGCATAGAACAGGTGCATGACGGCGTGCTCCTTCCCCCCAATGTACAGATCCACAGGCATCCAGTAGTCCGCCAGCGCAGGGCTAAAGGGGCTGGGAAAAGGAGAAATGACCATCTTTTAAAAACCTGCTTTGCCACAGTTTCATAAATAAGACAGATGGGCTGTAATTTGCATATGCCCTGAAATAAATTATGTCAGAGAAAAATGCTGATTTCCTTTTAAAATATAATAAGAGAGCCCAGCGGCCATGCTCAGTGGTTGAGCATGAACCAGGAGGTCACAGTTCAATTCCTGTCAGGGCACATGCCCGGGTGGCAGGCTTGATCCCCAGGGTGGAGCATGCAGGAGGCAACCAATCAATGATTCTCTCTCTTTACTGATGTTTCTCTCTCTCTCTCTGTCTCTTTCTCTCTCTCCTCCCTTCCTTCCTCTCTAAAATTAAAAAAGAAAAAGGGGTATTTCTGTATAAAGCATGTTTGAATATCTATATTTATTTTAAATTTTATTTTAATAGAAAATTGAGATTTTTAAGTCCTTACCAATAGGGGGCAATGTGGCATTTACAATGGGGACTATTATCATGCGGACACTAAATGTTTATTTTAAAACAGAAATTCAATCTTATTTTTTAAATGCAGACAGCAAGAGCTTGTATTTGGCTCCTAAATGCAATGAGCCAACTTAGGGTACCTGTCAGAAAAGAGCCCACAACTCCCTGTAGTTCTCAGAGATCCTAAAAGGAAGGTTTCCTCATATTCCTGGCCCTCAGGAATGCGGGGGCAGGAGAAAGAGGGGAGACACCACTTCCTGTGATGATGACTATTGGAGGTGTGTGAGTGTGCAGAGGTGTGTGTGTGAGTGTGCAGGGGTGTGTGTGTGTGAGTGTGCAGGAGGGTGTGTGTGTGAGTGTGCAGGTGTGTGTGTGTGTGTGAGTGTGCAGGTGTGTGTGTGTGTGTGTACGTGTACATGTGTTGGGGGGCAGTGCAGGCTGGGACAGACCTCTTCATTCCCAGGGACTGCCCTCACTGAGGCCATCAGTGCAGTACACGCCTTTGCAGGAGGTGTACTCCATGATTCCAGTATCTGAGTCTCCTCTCCCCACCTCTCCCCCAGCACTGGCTTGGCTGGCTCTGGCTCCTGTTGCTAAGCAGGTGAGCCTGTCCAACCACCACGCGTTAGCATCTTACTGCAGCTTGGTCTCTCCTGCAGTCACTCTGCCAGAATTCTAGTAAAATAAAAATAAAATTTTTTTTTTCTTTGTGAAAAATGGTTCCCCAGAGAAATCCAATGGCTGATCCAGGTGACAGAAGAGAAAAGGAAGTCGGGATGGTACTTAGCCCCAAACGAATTTCGGATAAACTAAGGACGGAGATGCTGAAAGCAGCTACAGCTCGGACCTGCGATCTGCCCGGGGACCACCGAGGGAGGCCCGAGCTGGTGCTGAAATGAGCGGCAGACTCTGGGAAGGAAACGAGCTCCTGGCAGCCCCAGGCTGGGGCCGAGGAGGCCAGGACCGCCTCCCTCCGGCAGGAAGGTCCCCCCGCTGCCGTTCAGTCTCCCTCATCTATGGGAAGCTGCTCCTTGAAGGCTCTGAGAGGGGCCCAGCCTGCATCCTGCATCACAGTGGCTGCTACTCAGTGGACCTACCACAGAGCCTTCTGGAAGGAGGACCCAGGAGAGGGCCCCTCCGTGGGTGAGCCGGGGCCATCCTAGTGGTTCCCAGCCTCAGCAGTCACCCCACACCCTTTCTGTCTTTGCTGGTTGCTGTTCCCTCGTCCGGCTCACCGGGATATTATAAAAAGGGGCCTTTTTATACCGGGGCTCTGGTTTCAGAGCAATTGTTCCCCTGCAGACAAGAGCGAGCCGGCAAGTCCTCTGAGCACAGCAGCTTTTTTGTGTTTTTCCCTGTGCTTGGTGAATGCTTTCTTTTGTTTTCATTCTCTCTCTACTTATCTAACCTCCTGCGCTCTTTTCCTCATTTATCTGCCTTTTCAAGGGAACACATGCACACAGATAAAAACCTAACAGCACGGGAGGGTCTGACATTCGGAGCAGTGCTCTCCGGCCCCATCCCTTCACTAAGCCCTTCTCCCCACACACCTGCCATTCCTCAGCCGCGTTTGATCCTCTTAGCTGCTTCTTCTGACAGTTATTAAAAAATATGTGCATACTCCTCATTGATTTATCAGTTTTAGATTTTAACTGCTGACTGTGTGATAAGAGATGGTGTTTCTTAGCTCTCATACTCCCTGCTCCTACCCTCCTTGCATAGTTCCATCATCATTTCCAGTCAAGCAAATGACATTAGAGCTTTATAATCGCATAAATGCAGGCCAGTGCGGGGCCAGGGGGCATGACTCCAGCACTTCCTCCTTCCCATGTGCTATATCTTTCCCGTGCTTGGGACTTACTTGGCCACGAAGAATCTAAAGCCATCATCTAATAGGCTCCCTTGACAAGATCTGCTTCAAGGAGCAGAGTGACCAACAGCTCCCAGCAGTTCCACCTGTGAGTCCACTGGGGCCCAGCCAGCGTGGCTCAGTGGTTGAGCGTGGACACATGAAATAGGAGGGCAAAGTTCGATTCACAGTTAGGACACACGCCTGGGTTGCAGGCTCGATCCCAGGTGTGGGAGGTGCAGGAGGCAGCCAATCAATGATGTTTCTATCTCTCTCTCCCTCTCCCTTCCTCTCTGAAATCAATAAAATATATATATATTTTATTGATTATATATTTTTATACACACACACACACACACACACACACACACACATATATATTAAAAAAAAAAAAATCCACTTGGTGTCCTCGCTGTGCCAGGACTAGGGCAGAGTCCTCTTTGCCTGACTGGGGACTCTCCGATGGGCAAGCTTAGCACGAGGTATCCTGTTGGCGTGGCTGAGATGGCCTCGAGCTGCATTGTGGTCTGCGGCTCTTCCTACCCACCCCCGTCCTTCCCTGGGCCCCTTCCCCGGTGTGGGACCAGCTGCGCGGCGACTCCCGCTCCCTCGCCCTTCATTGCTCATAGGCACCTCCCCCGGGCAGAGTCCTGCACGTCTAATCCACGCGGCCTGTGCTTCTGGGAAGTCCCTGGCGGACACGTGCCGAGAGGCAGGCAGGCTCACCTGTGTGCGTTCCGGGGGTCGGTGTACCGGAAGTAGTACCAGGCGGAATCCACAAAGGTGTCCATCGTGTCTGTCTCTCTCTTGGCTGCGCCCTTGCACCTAGGAGACAAATGAAGCCCGCCCGTTGGTCTCTTTAAATATTAACGCGGCGCCCACCAGCTTTCGGGAAAGATGTGGTAATGAGGCAGCGTGTGAAATGCCCTCAGAACAACGCACATCAGGGAAGGACAGTTCGGAGAAAGCTCTTTCGGGCTCTACCCTCCGTGTTTTAAAGAAATTCTCGGAATAAGAACGTCAGTCTGTAACGACTAGAAGCCTTAACTCTCCACTTCTCCGATGGAACCTGGTAGGAAATCTAACAACCTGAAGGGACAAGACGAGAACCAGTGTCTTTCTTGCGCATTAACTTCTATCTCAGGCGTGCCCCTCGCCTCCAGCCAAGCCTCCTTCGTGATGCTTCAGAGGCAAATCGATTCACGAAGAGAAGCTGAAACCCAAATGCAGCAAGACGTGGCACTGAAAAATGAACTTACTTTAAAAAGTTGCTCTGGGGGCAGGGGGCAGAAGTGCAGGGTGACCTTGGAAGACAAGTCACCTTGAGGCCCGAAGGCAGAGCCGCCACGGCCGCCTCAAACCGGAGAACCAGCCGCCAGCGCCTCCTCCCAGCTGTGCAGCAAGTGGCCCGGCGGGGAGCCCGCACCCCGAAATACGCAGCCCTGCAAACCGGAAGCCCCTCCAGAGGGCTATTGAGCACACATTGACCCACATCCGCTGCCTAAACAAGGCTCCTCAAGGAGGGTGAAGGCAGACCTGCTGTTCCAGAAAATCGATGGAGACACTGGGGGGTGAGGGCTGAAAAGAAAAAGCAACCCTCAGCCTGGGGAGAGAAGGAACTGGTGCCAAAGCCACATCTTCTGGGGACCCAGGGAGGGTGCCCTTAGTCACGCCTGGCCCAGGAGGGGCTCAACCCCCTGAGGACCCACTAGGCCCGTGGGTGGGCTGAGCCAGCTGTTAGCAGTGGGAAGCTGCAGGGGCGGGGGTGGGGGAGGGGAGGAGAGACACACAGCCCGGACTCCGCACGCTCCCTTCAGAGGCACGGAGGCAGGGCCAGCCACCCCTCCAATGCTGCCGCGGGCCCTGACCACTCTTCACAGGCGCGATCTCACTTCGTCCCCAGGGACCCTGGGGGCTAAGAGCCAGATACCACTCATGGCCCCATTTGCAGATGAGTAACCGGGGTTCAGAGAGATTAAGAAATCCTCCCAAGGTCTTGGAGCTCAGGGGTAAGGACGCCATGTCTGCTGGGCTCTGCTGCCTGGGGTCCTCACTACCGTGCCGCCTGCTAGGCCACACTGGCCCGGGGGGCTCTCAGCCCTGGAACCAAGGCCTGGCTCTGCCCTCCAGGATCCTGCTTCTGGGGTCAGAAACCTCATTTCCCACCAGGCCCTGACGGCCAGCCACCTCCCCGAAGGAAAGACCTTTGTCACTGCTTACCAACAGAGAGGGGGCACCAGTGTCCTCCCACAGCCCGTGGTTCTACCCCAACGTGGTCCTTCCTACGTTCCTTCCCATAAGCCCCTCTCAAGCCTCAAGGCTGCCTGTGTGGGGCCCCGGAGGACTGTGGGCGGGGTGGATGGGAACATCGTGGCAACAGTTCTGTTTACTGAATGTAGGTGGCACCGAGAACAGCCCTTCTGAACAGCCCTTTGGGGGGGGGGGGCGGGGGAGGGGTTATTTTAGTTCCTGATAAAGAAATCAAAGCTCAGAGAAGCCAAAGGGCTTTCCCAAGGCCACGCAGCCAGACTGGGATCTCTTACTGTCTGACTCCCAGGCCTGAAACGTCGTTACCTAATTCTCAACCTTGAAACTCAGCTCTGAGCTGGCAGAGGATAGGTTATTTCAAAAATACTCTCATCGTGATTTCTCTAAAACAGAGAAAAGGGGCTTTTCCACAGAAGGAAGAAAAAAAACATGGGAACTTGGTATCGATTATTTGTTTACATAATGAGCAGATAAGGCATCATCAAAATTACACTTGAGACAGGCCAGTGAGTTGACAGAAAAACACAGTCCCAGTAGCACAGAGGAGAAGGGAAAGGAGGTAGGTTTGAAGAGCGCGAACCCCGAGCAGGCTCGCTGCGATAGCAGCTCCTCAGCTCCTGTGATAAAACCTCCCCGTTGTCAGTCACCGGATGGAAGCCACTCTCTTTCCTCTGCAGACGCTCTCTGGGAGGGAAATGAGAGAGTGGTCCTTTGCAAACCTACAAAGACCGCGTGACGGAAAACGTCAGCTGGACCAGATGCTTCTGGGGAAGATGTGGATGGACATGACTGCGCCCCCATCCCTGCAGCTGGGCCCAGACTCCAGCCCCTTCTCTCAAAGGTCCCAAAAGGCCCTCCCTGGTTTGGCTCAGTGGATAGAGTGTCGGCCTACGGATTGAAGGGTCCCTGGTTCGATTCCCGGCCAAGGGCATATGCCCGGGTTGTGGGTTCGATCCCCAGTGGGGGCCGTGCAGGAGGCAGCCGATCAATGATTCTCTCTCATCATTGATGTTTCTATCTCTCTCTCCCCCTTTCCCTTCCTCTCTGATGTCAACAAATATATATTTTTTAAAAAGGTCCCAAAAGACCTACGGTATTCTACCAGCCTCGTGGCAGACCCAGAACGGAGCAGAGTTAGCCCAAGAGAAAAGGGAGTCTGAAACCCCAGCAGGGCGCTGGGGCCGCAGTCAGTCCCAGCTGGGGGGCGCGGTCGCTTACCTGGGGCAGGGGCAGTTCACCCACTCGGACGCCGAGGCCAGCGGGGAGCCTCCCTTGCCGGTGAGAGCCGTGATGCTGGGCAAGGTCACGGGCAGGTCCTCCAGCGGCACTGGCACGGGGCCACAGGCCGGGCAGTGGATCATGGGGATCGGGGTGCCCCAGTAGCGCTGCCTGGAGATCAGCCAGTCCTTCAGCTTACCGCTGGTCACGTCTCCGCCCACCCCCTTCCTCCGGGCCTTCTCAGTCACGGCGAGAAACGCATCCTGCCGGCTCAGACCTGTGAACTGAGAGGGGAAGGAGGGATCCGTTCCTCCCTGACCAAGAACAAGCCTCGGGCCCGACTGGCATGGCTCAGTGGCTGAGTGTCAAGCTATGAACCAGGAGGTCACAGTTCGAACTCCTGGTCAGAGCACAAGTCTGGGTTAGGGGGCTCAATCCCCAGTGTGGGGTGTGCGGGAGGCAGCCGATCGGTGATTCTCTCTCATCACTGATGTTTCTATCACTCTCTCCCTTCTTCTCTGAAATGAAGGAAAAAAAGCCCCACAAATACATTTATATCTATAACAAGCACCGCCTGTGCCACCCCCAGGGCTGCTGGGTTTCTCTGGGTTCTGTGCACTTTGACCTTTGTGCTTTTGCACTTGTGGGCCCCTTCCTCCCGAAGATCATAGCAAAGAATTATATTTTATGACTGTCTGGAATAAAAATAAATATAATTTTTACCCTAAGATTTCATTTTTTTCTTCTGATTTTAAAAGAAAACCTTTGGGGGGCCCCTAGGCACTGCATCCTCGGGGCCATCTAATGGGTAAGTGGCCCTGGCCCCGGGGCTCCCCAGGCAGCCCCTGCTGAGACCATCCCACACCAGCATGCAGTTGCCGGCCAAGAACTGCAGCACGTGTTTTTTTTTTGTTTTTGTTTTGTTTTTTTAACGATTGCTCCTCTGTTAGGGGGAAAAGCATTCAGAAAAGGAAAATTCAGTATTGTCCCAAAGCAGGAGTGTAATCAAGCAGAGAAGAGAGAACCAGAAGCACATTTGTAGCTAAACGTTTCCACTTTACAGACAGCAGGGCAGGCCATGAGAGCAGAAAAGAAAAATTCTTTCACCTGATGCCTTTTGGAGAAGGAAACGAATGAGAAGGACCGGCACTGTCGGCCCTGTGGGTACCCCGGAACCGGATCAGGCCCGTGACCGGCCCGGGAGCACCCAGATAGGTCTGACCCGTCTGCCCTGGAGCAGCTCAGTCACGAGGCCTAGGGATGGGGGAGCACAGCCGTGCCGGTCAAGGGCAGCTCCTGTGAGGAAGCGCCGGAAGTGTCCCCTGGAGTTCAGAGCTTTCCCCCAGGACCCCGGTCCACTCTGGGAGGCATCCTCCATGTCTCCCGCTCCCTCTGTCATACACGACTGGGGTGCACATGCTCACAAAGTCTACCTTCTGCCGAAACCGGTTTGGCTCAGTGGTAGAGCGTCAGCCTGCGGACTGAAAGGTCCCGGGTTCGATTCCGGTCAAGGGCATGTACCTTGGTTGCGGGCACATCCCCGGTAGGGGGTGTGCAAGAGGCAGCTGGTCAATGTTACTCTCTCACTGACGTTTCTAGCTCTCTATCTCTCTCCCTTCCTCTCTGTAAAAAATCAATAAAATACATTAAAAAAAAAAAAAAGTCTGCCTTCCTCCCTGGCCGGGTTGCTCAGTGGTTAGAGCATCCTACCGATTTGCCAAGGTTGTGGGTTTGATCGCTGGTCAGGGCACACACAAGAAGCAACCAATGAATGCATAAGTGGAACAACAAACTGATGCTTCTCTCTCCCCCTTTCTTCTCTCTCTAAAAACAAACAAAAAAAGAAAGTCTATCTCCAGGCATCACTGTTTTTACATTCCAGAAGCTCATGAGCAAAAGCAAGTTCCTGGAAGAGGTCATTTGTTCGTGCGGAGGAGTCCCGACACGAAGCCTCGTTACTGCGATCACCGTGCTCTACCAGAACTGGGTTGGACTGAGGGTGGATAAACCTCTAGACCTTGGAAAAGAGCATCCCTGTTTCCACAGCTTAAGAAAGGAGGCTGCGAGACTGTTGGTGTGGGGCTGAGTGAGGTGGCACCTGTGCGTGGCACCAAAGGCAGACGTCTCCTCAGACCAAGGCCAGGTCCTGAAGTTGGAAGTGAGGCCCAGGCCCAGGCCCCAGGCACCAACCTCCGCGGAGCCGCTCAGCCTCTCCGTGCCGTCTGGCAGCGTCTCAATGACGTCGGAGTAGGACAGGCCCAGGGCTTGGGCTGTGACGGTGTCCTCGGGGCTGGTGCAGGGAATTCCTAGGAGAGGGGAAGAAAGGACAGGGCGTCTCCTCTGTAAGTGCCCAAACCACGAAACGATCAACAGCACCGACACTTAGCGCCAGCTTCTTCAGGGACTCGCTGCCTTTTCCCACTGCAGAAGCTACCGAAGCTCCCCACACTCGCCGGAGAAAGGGGCACCGTCTTGGAGAAACTCACCACCGAACAACCAGGTCACCATCCATCAACTAACAACCAGTCACCCACCACCCTCCCCCTAACAACCAGTCACCCACCATCCATCACCTAACAACCAGGTCACCATCCATCAACTAACAACCAGGTCACCCACCACCCTCCACCTAACAACCAGTCACCCACCACCCTCCACCTAACAACCAGGTCACCCACCATCCATCACCTAACAACCAGGTCACCATCCATCAACTAACAACCAGGTCACCCACCACCCTCCCCCTAACAACCAGTCACCCACCACCCTCCACCTAACAACCAGGTCACCCACCATCCACCACCTAACAACCAGGTCACCCACCATCCACCCTAACCCACCACCCACCACCTAACAACCAGGTCACCCACCACCCTCCACCTAACAACCAGGTCACCCACCAACCTCCACCAAACAACCAGGTCACCCACCATCCACCATCTAACAACCAGGTCACCCACCACCCTCCACCTAACAACCAGGTCACCCACCACCCTCCACCTAACAACCAGGTCACCATCTCGGTATTGTTTCCTTTACGTCTTCTTCCTTTGCTTAGTTTCGTTTCGGAAATAGTTGTAACTCTAAAATATATGACTTGGGCCTGGCCAGCGTGGCTCAGGGGTTGAGCATCGAACTATGAACCAGGAAATCACGGTATGATTCCCAGCCAGGGCACATGCCCAGGTTGCGGGCTCCATCCCCATTAAGGGGCGCGCAGGAGGCAGCTGATGGATGAATCCCTCTCATCACCGATGTTTTCTATCTTTCCCCCTCTCCCTTCCCCTCTCTGAAATAAAAAATATACTTTAAAATATACAATGTGGGGTGCTTTTTGCCACTGAGACAGTAGTCACAAGTCGGGGGGGGGGGGGGGGGAGAGAAGGGAGAAGGGGAGAGCTCTTCCCTGAACCCGCTCAGTGACAGAGGGCATGTGCTCTCAGAGGCAAGCTGACTCCCCCACCTCTGCCGGCACCCAGAGAAGTCCACGCAGCCGGAGCCGGAAGCTGGAACTGATTTTTCATAATCGCTCTGTTCCCCGAGGCAAGGGCACGCTGTGAACATACTTTTATTCTTCAGCCCACACACCCCTGAGGAGACGGAGTCCGCATGAGTTACCCACCCCTGCGGAGGGCCACGGCCGGCTGCCTGGGCGTCAGCGGGTCCTAAAACAGGTATTTCAGCGGACGGTGGAGGCCTCCCCCAGCAGCACTGCCCCGGTCTGACACACAAAAATGGCCCTCCGACTGCGGGGGTCCCCTGGCGGCCCCATGTCCCCTGGCTGAGAACTCCTGCTGCAGCGACAACCGTCAAACTGCCGACATCTTCGCGGGCACAACCCAACTCGTGGCAAATGAGACAACACTACGGGGAACACGCCAAACGCTCAGGTCAGAGTGCCAGAGCGGCCTCTCCACAGCCCTGGCCCGAAAGGGGGCTTTCGTGTTCATGAGGCTTGCTCGCACGCCCTTGGTGAGATGGAAGCTCCGTGGCTCCTGTTCCAGAGGAGATTATTTTTTTTAAAAAACATATCTTATTGATTTTTTTACAGAGAGGAAGGGAAAGGGAGAGGGATAGAGAGTTAGAAACATCGATGAGAGAGAAACATCCATCAGCTGCTTCCTGCACACCTCCTACTGGGGATGTGCCTGCAACCAAGGTTGCCCTTGACCGGAATCGAACCTAGGACTCTGCGGTGTGCAGGCCGACGCCCTATCCACTGAGCCAAACCGGTTAGGGCCAGAGGAGATTATTGACAGGAAGCACCGCCAAAAGCAAATAAACTGTGATGGACCTGAAAGCCGCTAACGAAGCAATGGAGCGCTCTTGGTCACAGGAAGCATCAGTATTCCCCGTGTGCGGGCTGGAGCGGCCAGAGCATGGCTCTCAGGCAGGTGCCGCACCAGGGAATGTGTCTGACCGAGTGCGCTGGCCATGGTGCTGGCCACGGGGGCTCAGGACACGGCACTGTTTGTGAAATGCAGGTGAGACGGCAAGATTACCGCGTTACCTGTGGTTGGATTTCTGTCCTTTTTAAAAAAAAAAAAAAAATATATATATATATATATATATATTTTATTGATTTTTTACAGAGAGGAAGGGAGAGAGATAGAGAGCTAGAAACATCGATGAGAGAGAAACATCGACCAGCTGCCTCTTGTACACCCCCTACCGGGGATGTGCCCGCAATCAAGGTACATGCCCTTGACCGGAATCGAACCTGGGACCTTTCAGTCCACAGAACGATGCTCTACCACTGAGCCAAACCGGTTTTGGCTCTGTCTGTTCTTGGAGGGCAAGAGGCAATAACTCAGAAAATGTTAGTTATGTAACTATGGGAAATCGAGACAACACAGGAGAAATGATTTTCCCAGCATGCCTTAAAAAAATCAGATTTTTTTTTCTTTCAGACACTCAATTTATGTCAGTACTTTGACTCAAAATGCAAAAGAAAAGAAAAAAAACCACGTCAGCAAGCGCTGCCGTTATTGTTTATCGTGGCCAGCGGTCTTAATGAATTTTACTAATGATAAAACGCATAAAAGCAGGAGATGTTATTTCCTTTAACACGCTAGCTTAAGCTGTCAGAAGAGAATGCCCTGAATGGCTTAATAGCCGTGTTCTGCGTGGGTGTTTCTTCTAGTCACTTTGTCAGAAAGGAATCTGAGAACTGTGAGGAAAAACACGATTTTGATAAGAAATGCTATTTTTCTCTGTGCGCCAGGAAGTAGAGTGAAATAGCTTTCTGTGCAGGGTCTGGCACTCGGAGACCAGTAGGAACGTGGAAAAGGGGCGTGAGGGCAGAACTCAGATGGACTGTTGGATGCCGATCATTTAGGGCGCTCATGGCTCGGCCACTGTGGCTCAGTGGTTGGGGGGGTCAACCATGAACCACAAAGTCACTGCTTTGATTCTCGGTCAAGGCACATGCCTGGGCCGCAGGCTCGATCCCCAGTAGGGGGCGTGCAGGAGGCAGCCCATGGATTCATGTTTTTCTCTCATCGATGTTTCTGTATCTCCCTCTCCCTTCTTCTCTCTCTAGAAAACCAATCAAAACGTAATTAAAAAAAAAAAAAAATAGAATGCTCGTGATGAGTAAGGCTGCCAAGGATACTCAACTTACCCTTCTAAATATGCCTCCCGTGGTGCTGCTGTTTCCCGATCCTTTTCTTGTACAGCTCAAGCCCCTCTCTCCTCAAAGCCCTCACCAGAACCCCAGCCGCGTGGACGGTGTGTGTGTGGAACCCCCGTCTGGAAAGTTGCCATGGGGTCTGAGCCCTGACATGGGACTTTCGCCCGAGCTGCTCTGTTCCCCACGCTGTAGGCTCAGGTCTCACCAACCAGCTCTGCTGGCACGGTCCTCGGGCCAGAGATCTCTGATTATTCTCAACAGCAACGAGCAAGGATGCGATACACCTGATGCTTTCAAAATGTAGTTCTTAAATGAGGGTGATTAAATCAAGGGGGGCATTCCTTTCTACAAAGAGGCAAACCGGATCATGGCGCCAACGTCAGCTCTTTCACTTGACAGCAACAGGCTGGAGTTTTAAATCTTTATCGTTGAAAGGATTACACATGTCCCCTCCCCCCCACCCCCTCCCCATGGGCCCCTTCTAGCCTGCCCCTGCCCCCACCCCCACCCCAGGCCTTCACCACACTGTTGTCTGTGCCCATGGGTTATGCACATGTGCATACAAGTCCTCTGGTTAACCACTCCCCATCCACTTATCCTCTCCTGTCTTCCCTCTGGGATTCGACGGTCTTAGTATTTTGATCTTAAGCCGGATAATACACAATCCCAACTACATTGTAATAACTACTCACCTATTTTTGAATCCGGAGAGTCCTCAAACTCAGCGTCGGCCGCGATGATGACAGGGACCTCCTGCTGGGTGAGCATGTTCACGGCGGTCACGGGCGTGAGGCAATCTGACAGCGAGAGGGAAGGACCGTGGATGCGGTCAGAGGGCCGCCCGAAGCTCAGGGGAGACGGGCGAGAAAAAGAACCCTCAGGACATCCCCGTTCTGTGCTAATGGTCCAGGAATTTCTTCTTTGAAGGTTTTGTTGGATAATTCACACCAGTGGGAATCAAAAGACTAAACAAGCACACGAAAATGTTCACCCATGCTCATAACCGAAGAAGTGAAAATGGCATTTTTCCTTTCCAGGTGGAGGAGGAAAGACGTTCCCCGCCCCCCCATCACCACCCTCTTCCTTTTGAAAAACAACATCAACTAGACCGTCGATGAGCAACCCAGAAATGGGCCTGTGGTAACACGAGGAGGCGTCTGGAATTCCAAACCGCAGCACGTGAAGATGGAATGGGCCAGAGAGCAGAAAATGACTGAGCAGAGAGTTCCAGACGCACAAAGACGTACAAATTCTCTTCCCACACACCCTTCCTCAGGAGGTGCAGGAGGATGTGCTCCGGCAACAGGACGGGGTAAGTCACGAAAAGGCAGACCTGGGATCCAGGAAGCAGCGCGTGCCGCACAGGAAAGAGGGAGGGCACTTGCAGAACAAGGGCAGAGGGAGTCCTAGGAGGACAGGGCAGCAGAGGCCAGAGGGTGACCACGAGCGGACACAGGGCCCCAGGGAACCTCAGGGCACAGGGAGCCAACATGGGTTGGAACGTGCAGAAAACTGAACCGAGAGGCATTTAAGGAACTTTGGGGAGGGTGTGGGAAGCCTTGGAAATTCAAAGAACACAAAGCAAATGAATAAAATGAGAACACTGTGAACTTCAGGAGAAACAGGAAGTTACATAAAAAGGAAGATGGAATCACGGTGTCCGTGGCTCAGCTGTGGGGGTATCTATGTGGTCATTCTGAAGCATTCACTGGAAACTCTGTCTTAAAGGACGGTGGGTACTGCTGCTGCAGCTGGGCGACAAGCCACACACACACCAACCTCCACTGCATACACGTGGGGCCGGGGACACGCGTGAGGACCCGCAGGAAGAGGGGCAAGAGTAGTGAGTTCACGTGAGCTTGTTGTATTAAACGGCTGGACTTTTTTTCCCTTCCACATAAAAATTCTGTGACGCCGGTTTTTCAATTAGAAAAACAATTGGCCTTTACACTTAAAAGTTTAGGGTCTCTAAACTTAAAAGACTCCTGGTCAAAATCTGTTTCTTGCTGAAACCGGTTTGGCTCAGTGGATAGAGCGTCGGCCTCCGACTGAAAGGTCCCAGGTTCGATTCCGGTCAAGGGCATGTACCATGGTTGTCGGCACATCCCGCTAGGGGGTGCGCAGGAGGCAGCTGATCGATGCTTCTCTCTCATCGATGTTTCTAACTCTCTATCCCTCTCCCTTCCTCTCTGAAAAAAAAAACACAAAAAACAATAAAATATATATTTTTAAAAAATTGGTTTCTTAAAAAGAGCAAAACTCAAGTCTGAAGTTCCTGATCAGGTCTAGTTTTCCCATATTTCTCATCAATCCCGTGCCGGTGGTGTGTCGCAGGAAGGCAAGGAAATCATGGAGACACAAAGCAACTGAAGCACAGGCCCCGGCAGGGTGGCAGGTGGGTGACGCTGACACTTTAGTGATCACAGAGGCAACATTCTGGGCAAAAGGGCGCCCTCTGCCTAGGGCCCCCTCTGCAGAGGGCAGGCCCTTCACGCCTTCCGGGAAAACCAACCCATGCTCTCTGTGTTCAGCAGATCAGGGGGGGCTCCCCCGCACAGGGTCCCCAGGGCCGTCTGTGGAGGAGGGGTCTGTGGCCACTAGTGTGACCGGGCTTCCTCTCCGTGGCCGGTACCATGCACATCAGCACAGAAGAGTTCCCGAGAGACCCAGGGCAAAGAAACCTGTGACTTCGTTTATTGCAGGATATGTGAGCACGGCAGCTCTGCCCGCCCTGCCACCTCTGCCAGCCCTGCCACCTGCCGGAAGCTGGCAGAGACAGTTTGGTTAAAGAGGGAGGAGTCAGACAACAGGGAGCAATTACTTATTCAGTGCTCTGGGGCTCTGCGTCACAACAGCCCTTCAGGGAGACCTCATTTACCTTCTGGCAGAAACATGCTTTGTGCTGCCCCGCTGGTGACTCAGAGCTGGGATGTGTGGTTCCGAGGCCCCAGGGTCTGAATAATTCAATATCAGGAATGTAGGGAAAGCATCCAGAAGCTGGCACAGCTTCTAGAACGCTGCCCCCAGTTTCCTCTTGATGCTTTTTTTTTTTTTAAATGTATCTTTATTGTTGAAAGTATTACAGAGGTCCCTTTTTCCCTCCCTGACCCCCTCTGACCCTCCTCCCGCCCCTTCCTCCACCGCACTATGTCTGTGTCCATGGGTTATGCATATCTGCATACAAGTTCTTTGGTTAATCTCTAACCACCCACCCCCAAAATATGTCCGTCTGTTGTATGATGCTTTTTAAAAATATATATATTTTATTGATTTTTTTACAGAGAGGAAGAGAGAAGGATAGAGAGTTAGAAACATTGATGAGAGAGAAACATCGACCAGCTGCCTTCTGCACACCCTCTACTGGGATATGCCCGCAACCAAGGTACGTGCCCTTAACCAAAATCGAACCTGAGACCCTTCAGTCTGCAGGCCGATGCTCTATCCATTGAGCCAAACCCTTTAGGGCTGTATGATGCTTTTCATGGATCCTAGTTCCCATCAAGTCAGGGCTCAGGTAACATGACTCAGTCAGAGGCGGGCAGCTGAGAAAGGGGGCGGCGCCGATGGTTATGGAAAACTCTCCAGGGAGGGACCTTCCTTTTCTGCCCTCCTAAAGGAATCTGTACCAAACAGCCCATTCAGTCCACAATCAATAACATCAGCAACCCACGTCAGAAGTCAGAAAGCCGGGTCTGACTCTGCCGCCTTCCAGCAGTTCCCAGACTGTCCCGCCCTCCACGCCAATGACCGCTGTTATTCCGTCTTCACCCGCTCTTAGCGGATGGGGAAGCCGGCACTGCTGCCTCCACTCTGCCAGTCCGGCGCCCCCCAGTCCAGGTGTGTTACCCTCTTCCTCAGAGCCAGTCACAACCGTGAGCTGCCATGACTCTCAGCAGTCGCCTCGCTAGCACTCGTAACCCTCAAAACCTGACATCCAAGGAAGAACCGAGCCGGCTGGCAGCCGGAGCCAGTTGGCAATGGTAAGTGTCAACGATCAGGGTTAAGGTGTAGCCTCAAAGGCCAAAGGGGGCACAGAGCCATATTCACACAATCATTTTAATTCACCTTTTGGGAAAACTGCATCCTACACTGAGCCATTTGGCCTTGAGTAACAAATGCTGCATCAGATGCTAATTAACCTAGGGATTCTGAATAAATTGCTATCTGCATAAAGAATAACTCCACTCTGAAAATGAGAACTGGAAAATTCAGAGCCAAGTGCAACGTTCCAGTTGGAATGATTTCAGGGATGATTAGAAAGAGGGGGGATCGAAGCTAACGAGTCATTTGGTGCCAAAATGAAACAATCAGACCAAGCCAGACGCGCTGATTCCCAAATGATCACAAAAACGCTGCTCTCTGCATTTGCCACGGTAACTTCTTCCGCGTGAAACCGATTTAAATGTACACAGCCCTCTTCACGTCAGGATTCCTTCTCCGACAGCCTGCCAGTTCACTGACCCCCTACCTCATTGTCATCTGTGTCCCCAAATAAACAAGAAGAAAACAAAGCTGAGGGCTCGATGTTTACATTGCTCCATTTTTCAATATTAGGTATTATTCATCCACCATGGCCCCGGGGAGCCTCAAAATGCTCAAGGAGTAACAACTATGAGTTTTCCTTTGAAATGGAACAGTTGAAAAGGTCCAATTTTTTTGAATAGAAAATAGAAGAGAGATAGAGACACTGGACTTTATAAGCACACCCTGAAATTTCAACTCAAAGGAGTAATTTCTCGACTTCAATATAAAACAGCAAAAGAGATTAAACCGAGTTATCTGTGTCTTGCGCCAGAGTGAATGATACCCGCATCTGGCCGCCCTCGCCGTGACCCCTGTGAACGGCCATCTCCGCGTCCCCGAGTGCGTGGCACATGGTGGGCTCTCGGTCAGTGGTCCCCGACCTGCACCCTGCCTCTGAGGTTGTACGTAAACGATCAGGAAACCTGAGCTGGGGTGACACTGTCTATTCTTCCGACCTGATGTCAGGAAGTCTTTCATTCTGGTTACCTGAAGAAGAGCAATTAAAAAATAAAAGCTTTGCCCTAACCGATGTGGCTCAGTGGATAGAGCGTCGGCCTGCAGACTGAAGGGTCCCGGGTTCGATTCCGGTCAAGGGCATGTACCTTGGTTGCGGGCACATCCCCGGTAGGGGGTGTGCAAGAGGCAGCTGGTCGGTGTTTCTCTCTCATCGACGTTTCTAACTCTCTGTCCCTCTCCCTTCCTCTCTGTGTAAAATCAATAAAATATATTTTTAAAAAAAAAAAAAAAAAAAAAAAAAAAAAAAAAAAAAAAATAAAAGCTTTATATCACCACCCAAAACATTTTTTGTTGTTGTTAGTTAAATAAGTCAAACAGATCCCAGTGATTGACTGTGTGTGCTGCATTGATACTCTAGAAATATTTTTAAAGAAATATTTACATTTCCCCAGAGACCTCCTTCTGATCCATCCTTTCGCCGGCCAGGATCCATCTCCCCTCCCTCTGGGAAGAGCCTCTGAGTGTTTCTCAGACCCCACCTTTCTCACTGGGTAGTCCTGGTGGTCTATCAGGAAAGGTCCCTGGCCTTCCCTTGGCCAAGAAAAAGGCCAGGGACCCCAGTGATACCAACCAGACACCTGTCCCTGCACCAGGGGTTCCCTCAACCCCACGCTCCAAACCCCGAGGGCGAGGGCGAGGGCGAGGGCGAGCAGATTCCCCCATTCAGTGGCCTTCAAGAGACAGAACTAATTCCTGCTGGTCCAAGTCCTCTTCCAGACCCATTCTCCAGGGGTTCCTCCAGGGGTTCCTCCGGTCAGCAAGCTCCCCACAGCCTTCCAGGAGGCTCCCCTTTCCCTCCGGGTCAGCCAGAGGTCCCAACGCAGTGGCCCGCCCCAAACCCTCACTGGCCAAGCATATTCCCTAGGCCAATCCAGGTCCCCTCGGTCCAGTCGCTCAAGAGCTCTGCTGAGCAGGACTCTGCTCATCCGCTCAGATTACTGTGTGAGTCTGTTAAAGTAATAAAATTAAGTTGTTGAAAATGTTGCCTTCCAGTTCTCAGTGGCTTCCTTCCTGCCCCTGTGCGTACAGTTTTATTTGATGACGGAATTATTAATGAAGCGGAAGATTCTATTCCTATCAGAAAAGAGCTGTGGATCCAGATTCTATTTAAAGGGAAAGCATTGAGCTTCCCGACAGACACTCAAGAAGCACACAATCTAGTAGCTCAAAGTGCAGCCAGGGGGGGTAACTTAACATGTTCAAAGCTCTTTTGTCATCTTTATGCCTTAAAATAAAAAACTAAGAAGCCAGGCTGAGGTGAAGACAAATCCCACAACATGACATGAGAAAGACAGTGAACTTGGAAACACCGTGAGGCAGAACGTAAGACATGATCCTCCTCTGTCTTAGCCTCACCCTGCCCACTCACCTCTGTCGGGGACCAGTGCCTTCCGCAAGGCTTCCTTCAGAGGGCTGCACCCGTGCAGGAGCCTGTGGCCGGGAGTGACAGCAACGTGGGACGTGCCATAAATGGCCTCGGGGGTGGCCGTGTAGGCGGTCAGCTTCTCTCCTGTGACTTGCCCGTCCACCTGGCAGGGAGAGAGCAGAGTAATCATTCCCTTCTCGGTCCTCCCTCTGAGCTACGGTGCTCCTCAACCTCATCCCCTTCTCCCCAATCCCTCAACCACAAATAGTGGGGCCAGCTTCTGGCCACAGCCCCAGGGACTGGGGGTCAGGGATGGAACCGGCAGGGGCAGAGGAGGGTGGAAGAGGAGGATCACAGCTCCTCCTTCAGAAGCCCTGCCAGGTGCCCTCCAGCAGGCCCACTTGGGTTTGGATCACAGGTGGTCAGAGCATGCTCAGAGAGATGCCGTCACAGCGGGAAATCTCACCGCCTGCTCGGGAAAGCAGTGGAAGGAAAAGCCTATCTATGCCAGGGCCTGGTTTTCAAAGGTTTTGAAGCACCCACACTCGGTCTGATGGGGGCTCCCAGGGCTGAGCCCGGAGTGAGCTGGTCACGTGGGTGAGGACGTGGCACGGGAATCGTGAGCTCGGCGACAGGCAGCGGGTACTCAGTGGACAGCAGCCAAGGCTGTCAGGAGGAAGGGACCTGGAAAGGTGGGTCAACTGCCCCCGGCGGCTGCCCCCTCTGAGGTTTTGATTGGGACTGAGGTGAGGGAAGGATTTGGAGTGAAATGAGCTGGGCACACAAGTCTTGATTGGAGGAGGCGACATCAGAAGGATAAAAAAGAATATCCAGGCAGGAAATGGGAACAGAACAACTTCCCAGCCGGCAGAGACAAAGGGGAAAGCTTGGGGGGATCTTCCAGGGCAGGTGGGCCTTTGGCAGTGACTTTCGGCAGGTCCCCTCTCGTGGACCCTGGAGAGGCCCAGACCCTAACAGCTTCCGGTCTGTGTAGTACATGCGTTCGTTAGCCTCAGCTCCCTGTTTTGGGACAATATACCCTCTTGACACAGTGAGAGCTGTGGGGCCGCTGCTTAGGAAGTGGCCACACGTACATTCTGCACTTAATTTCAGGGAGTTCATGGGCCCACCAGAACACCCTCTAGATCTGTGCTGTCCAACGTGGCAGCCAGAGCTACCTGCGGCCGCGAGCCCTTGAAATATAGGTGCCGTAAGAGGACAACAGCAGGATTCGAAGACTTTGTACTGAAACAGGAGTGCTAACAATAGTTAAACACTTCTACTTTTTCGTTTAAATTGCTCACATCTTGAAACAGTAACATTCTGAACAGAACATGCTATGAAAATTAATTTCCCCCATTTCTCTGCACTGGAAAGGCCGTGGCTACGGGGAGATTTGAAATTACGTGTGGGACTCCCGCTCTTTCCGCTGGACATGCTGCCGCGGAGCCCCAGGTGCTGGGCTGGTCAAGGGGTTGCAACAGAGCAGAGGGCCTGGCTGGCGCTCACTGCCGGGAAGGCTCTGCCGCTCACCTTTAAGGTGAAGTCCAGGTGGCAGCCCACACAGTCCCCGATCCAGTGGGCCTGCATGCCTTTGATCCCGTACCACTCCGGGAGGTCTGCCAGCGCGTCCCGCATGGCCTGCGGGGAGGAGAGAGAACAGAGAGCGAGATGCACAGGTTTGAGACAGTGAATGACTCGGGGCTTGCTGAGGAAGGACTGGAGGGGGAAGGAGGATGCAGAGGGAGGCTTAGGAATTAGGCCTCTTCTTGCTCGCTTGCCAATCAGAGGTGAGAAGCAGAGGTGCTTGCTCATCAGGACTCCGTTTTATGCGATGGGTCTGGCCTGGGCATATGCAACGCAGGATGTGCCAGAGCCCCTAACATGAAGGTTAAATACAGTTGTTCCCCCTTATCCGTGGAGGGTGAGATCCAAGACCCCAGTAAATGCCTGAAACTGCAGATGGTACAGAACCTGATATACACTGAGTGGCCAGATTATTATGATCTCTGAACGCATAATAATCTGGCCACTCAGTGTATATCCTATATAATAAAAGGCTAATATGCAAATTGTCCCCTCCACCAGGAGTTCAACCAGCTGGTAGGCCGGCCAACCACACATGTCCCTTCCCCATGGCCAGGCTATGCACAAATTCATGCACCAGGTCTCTAATACACACACACACACACACACACACACACACACACTGAGTGGCCATATTATTATGCATTCAAAGATAATAATCTGGCCACTCAGTGTATATTATGTTTTTCCTATGTACACATTCCCATGATAAAGTTTAGTTAATAAAGCAGCATAGTAAGAGACTAACAACAACTAATATTAAAATAGAACAATTGTAACAATACGAGTTGTATGAATGTGGGCCTCTCCCTCTGGTAACTGAGCCACCGAAGTGACTAAAGGGCAGGTAGCATGTACAGCATTGGGCAAAAGGGATGATTGACATCCTCGATGGGATGGGAAGTGACTGAGCAAGATTTCCTCATGCTACTCAGGACAAGGAGCGATTTAAAACCTGTGACTGCGCCTGCCGCCTCTCCGCCCCTGCTTTGTCCAGCCACTGCTGATAAGCCCTCTGGGTGAGTTTTCCTCTAGCTGCATTGTCTAGGCTGGGAGACTTCTGGTGGAGGTGCTTTGCTTAAAATACTCAGATCTCAGACAGGACAAAAGATTGAAACAGAATGAAATTGGAATATTTTAATATGCTAATTATGGGAGAGAGAAAAACCCTCCTGCTTAATGCCTTACCAAATTTATGAATATTCTTAAAAAATGAAAGCAATTTAAAAATAAACCAAATAAGCCGAAACCGGTTTGGCTCAGTGGATAGAGCGTCGGCCTGCGGACTGAGGGGTCCCAGGTTCGGTCAGGGGCATGTACCTTGGTTGCGGGCACATCCCCGGGGGGGGGGTGTGCAAGAAGCAGCTGGTCGATGTTTCTCTCACATCGATGTTTCTAACTCTCTATCCCTCTCTATAAAAAAATCAATAAAAATATATTTAAAAAAAAGCCGAAACTGGTTTGGCTCAGTGGATAGAGCGTCGGCCTGCAGACTGAAAGGTCTCGGGTTTAATTCCGGTCAAGGGCATGTACATTGGTTGCGGGCACATCCCCGGTGGGGGGTGTGCAAGAAGCAGCTGGTCAATGTTTCTCTCTCATCGACATTTCTAGCTATCTCGCTCCCTTCCTTTTTTAATATTTATATATCAATATATATATCATAAATATATAAATATATTTATATAAATATTTATATTTATATTTATATATTTATAAATATATATATATATAATATATATATTTAAAAAATAAAAAATAAACCAAATGAGCCGAAGCCGGTTTGGCTCAGTGGATAGAGCATTGGCCTGCAGACTGAAAGGTCCCGGGTTCGATTCCGGTCAAGGGCATGTACATTGGTTGCGGGCACATCCCCGGTGGGGGGTGTGCAAGAAGAAGCTGGTCGATGTTTCTCTCTCATCGACATTTCTAGCTCTCTATCTCTCTCCCTTCCTCTCTGTAAAAAAATCAATAAAATATATTGAAAAATATATAAATAAATATAAAAAAATAAAAATAAACCAAATGAAATCAACTTTGTGAGAATAACCCAGTGAGCCCGTTTTGGTCCCCACTGAGAAGGAACATTATCCATGGCTGGTTCTGATGAGCACCTGCTCTGAGCAGCCTCTCCCTCATCCCAGGGCTGGCCCTGCTCCACCTGAACAGAGGGCGGTTAGTACTCACAGCCTACAGTTGTTTGGTCCAAAGGCCTGTTTTTATTTGATTTAGGTTTTCGTTGAGATGATAAGCTTCCTCCCTCTTTTGGTGCTGCAATTGCAGTGGCAGTACACGGGATCCCTCTCATTTCAGGCCGTTCCATCTGGCAAACAATTGGCAGTGACCCCCTCCCCCATCCTAGCCAACCTGGAATTATGGAAATCTTATTGGTTCACAGAATCCAAAAACCTTTGGGAGAGAGCAGGTTTTGAGACTCTTTTTAAAAGGGCTATAAAATGCCTTTTCAGATAAAATGGAGGGAACCCAGCAGGTAAGAGCCGAAAGCTGAGCTATTATGCTGGGAGGTGCCCTGAGCTCTCCCCGAACCCTCTCCACCAATTCCCAGGGCTTGGGCACAGTTTGGAAGCCATTCATTACCTCAGCTCCCCTCACTTAGCAAATAAAGAAATGGCTCGCTCAACCAAGTCAGTGGCAGACCTACTATCACAAACGATGCAAATCTTCAGACTGGATAAACTGTGCTCAGTTGGCTGGTCTCTTTAGGTAAATTAAAACAAGAGATAACGCCTTCCATATGTAAAACCTCTAAGTTAATTATATAAGTGGGCTTCTCATTCCATGTGTTACAAATAATTCCCGTATTTAATGCTCATCGGAAGCCACATTAGAGTTGCCCGGGGTTACTGCTGAGATTTAGAGAAATCCCGTGGTTTACAAACAGGCCTCATAAGCACTTGGTTGCGATCGGCCTGCAAACACGGCCATGGTGACCCTGTCTGTACCATGTGGATGAGGATGCTGTAAGGAGTTGAATCGAAGGGATATGAATGAGTCTGACTCGGAGCCCATGTTTAAGAACAGGAAGTAGAAGGAGACGGGCTGACGCTCACGTCCAATCAAGAAAGGCTTTCGTAACACAAAATATAATCAGGAATAAGAAAGAGGAAGATTTAAAGTAAAGAGCTGAGGATAAAAAGAGGATTAGATATAACCTGGCCAATCAGACTCTTCCTTCGAAGACACAGAAATAAGGCCAGGAATAAACCCGCACTTCCCCGGGGGAGACAGTGTGTGCGCTAACGGCATTAACCACCACAGGCGACGGGACCACAAGTGAGGATTCTAGAAGCGGTGGTTCTTAAGACGTGATATATTTCAGAAGATCTTGGATGAACAAACGCAGGCAAGACGAGAAATCCAGACCTTTTAAATCCATTAGCTTAGATTTACTAGCTCCCACGGGGGGCTGCAAAGCCAGGACTGGGAGCTGGGCATAGATTTGAGACAGGAATGAAAGAGACAAGATGAAATGGGGAGACTTAATCAAAACGGGTCCTTTTTAAAAGCTTAACACTTAACCTCCTTCTGAATCAGTGTGGTTTGATTAGCAATTACTTTTGTATTATGATCTGCATGTTTTTCCTAAAACTTTTTCTTGTTGCCAAGTTTTTTTTTATTCTCCCCTTAAAACAATAATTTCAGTGCATTCACTCCAAAAGCACAGTGTATATTTGAGTTCCAATAAAGGAAAATCAATTCCGAAAGCAGTAAGATGTTTAACAATCTAGATATCCTCTCTAGAATATGCTAGAGGAATAAACCTTCTCTCATCCTAGCCTCATCCCCTGCAGGAAGTTAGGTACAAAGATTGAGCCATTAAAAATCTCATCTGGCAGGATGTTTACCTCCCTCTGACAGCCCGTGTGAACTTCTCTTCTGAAATGTTTTATGTATACCCAGCGAAATCCATTTGTTGTGACTCTCAGTGCAAAAGATTTATTTACAAATACAGTTCGTTCTTAAAAAAAAAAAAAAAAAAATTAGCCAAAACCTGTTTGGCTTAGTGGTTAGAGCGTCGGTCTCCGGACTGAAAGGTCCCGGGTTCGATTCTGGTCAAGGGTACGTACGTACCTTGGTTGCGGGCACATTCCCAGTAGGGGGTATGCAAGAGGCAGCTGGTCGATGTATCTCTCTCATCGACGTTTCTAACTCTCTATCCCTCTCTGTGTAAAATCATTAAAATAGATTAAAAAAATTATTGTTGAAAGTATTACATGTCCCCTTTTTCCCCCATCGACCCCCTCCAGCACACGCCCACCCCACCAGTTGGCTCTCCACGAATGCCAGTCCCACTGAGGAGCTACTAACCCAGGAGGGAAACAATCACGTGTAAGCGAGGCGTCCAGCTAATGAAGTGTGCCTGAGCAGCAGGTGCGGGCTCAAGGGGTGGCAGGGACAAAGGACAGGAGGCGCCCACCAGCCCACACAGACAGCAAGTGGGCACCTCAGAGCCATTCGAAAGGGCTACCGTGTAGCTTCCCAGCGGCTGGAAGGATGGACGTGCCTTTGGGGTGGGACCATGGGGGCGGCCCCACGTGTGTGCTCTGTGGGAGAGCATGTGCAGAAGGCACCCTAGAAGCCAGCCAGGCTAACCTCTTGGTACACACAGCCATGTATTCACGGCGGCCACACTTAGCAGCCTTCCCCACCCCTTCCCACCGCCCGCAGGCAGCAGGACTGTCCTAAGGCCACTGACTTCCAGGAGGCAGCGCCTGAGGCTCTGAAAGGTCACCACCACCCTCCTAACGACGCATATGTAGAGGCCAAGCTCTCCCAACGACAGAGCCACCTGTCTGATGAGCCAGCTTCCAACTCCACCTCCTCTCACTGCCTGTGGCACTCAGGACAGAGCGTGGCCGTGCCTGCGGCCCACCGTGGCCTGAAGGGGCAGCTCTGCTCCGGGAAGGAATAAGATGGAGACAGCCGTCTCAGGGGACACTCTGCTCAATTACCTTCACCTTGGAAGCTTGCCTGTAAATAAATGTAAAGCTGCCAGAACGTAAGACCGTCCTTTCCCCAAGGCTCTCGGGTCTGGTGTAAATAAAGGCCACCGTAACCCAGCTATGAGGCTGCTTTGTTTTGTGGCTCTCAAAATGACAAGAATCATCATGAAAATTTTGGAAAAGACAGAAAGGATGAAGAAAAATACCAATCACACAAGTCGGGTTAAGCACCCAGGGTGACCACCGTTAATATTTTATTCTGAACCTCCCACTCTGCTCCCATCCCCCCTCAACTCTCAGATGCACGTTTTCCCGCTCACTCTGAAACAGGGCCATGTCTAGCAGCCAGTGGCGTCTCTGATTGACAGTGTTTTTCTTTCTCAGTGGAGCATAACATCTAAAACCAACTGTGTTAGAACGGAACAAATACAGTAGGAGTGTGTGTGCCTGTGTACACGTTCTTACATAGTTAAGACCATGCTCTTAATATATTCTTTTTTAAAAATATGCATTTCTTTATTGATCTCAGAGAGGAAGGGAGGAGAGATAGAAACATTGATGAGAGAATCATTGATTGGCTGCCTCTTGTACGCCCCCGACTGGGGATTGAGCCTGCAACCTAGGCATGTGCCCTTGGCCGGAATTGAACCTGGGACCCTTCAGTCCGCAGGCTGACGCTCTATCCACTGAGCCATGCCGGCTAGGGCTATTCTTTTTAACTACAGTCTGCATTTTACCAAGGTTTATAACTTATCACAGTCCTGGAAATGATCAAGTTTCTATTTTGAGCAAAGCTAATGCTTAGAGCTAACCACCTGGAATAGCAAGCAAACCACAAGAGAGATGGGGAGGGACTGTGGAAGAGGAGACTTATTTTGAAAAAAAAAAAAATGATGGAGCCACACGCATCTGTTGTGACTGTTTCCTTAACAGCAGCGGCGGCCGCGGGGCTCCGCCTCCTGCTCCCCGAAGGCCCGGGATGAGGACAGGGCGTTGGGGCGGAGACTAACACCCAGTTCCAGGTCCAAGAAGCCAGCAGGCCACTTCCGTCAGGAACAAACTAGGGAACCTCTAATCACCACGCTTGCCATCACCTGCCTTCTGTGCCCTCCCCACACCTATCCCATTTCCCGACTTGCGCACACAGACTGTCTGCCTTCTGCCCCCCAGTCTCGCCTGGTTGCTTGGGAACCAGTGCTCCAGAGCAGGTGGAAGGATGCAGGCCTGGGACTGAGGGGACTCCGGTCAGGCCCGGCCTTCCTGGGCGCGGGGTGACTTGGTTACCCAGGAGGGATGGGCCGGCTCAGCCATTTCTCAGGACATCTCCGGCAGCAATCAGCACCCTGGGCAGCAGGAGGAGGATAGGGTGTGCACTGCTTGAATTAAAGCAACACCTATCCCTCTGTTTTAATTTGGTTTCAACATCGGATTGATTTTGTAACTCCGAGCAGCAGCAAAGGCATGAGGGTTTTTTCCCTGCCATTTGTTTCTCAGATCAGGACAGGGATTCAAAAGCTTGGGGGACTCTGAGCTAAAGGCAGGGCACCTGCTCAGGGTTCCCTCAGGTGTCCTCCAGCTTTAAAACCCAAATGTCTCTCTGAGCCAACAAGGCTCACTGGGACCCTCACCAGCTCTCCCTGGCACACTTCTGGCCAGGCATGCAGCGACATCTGGGGAAAGGATGGGCCAACTCAGACCACCCGAGACGCGGTACAGACTGCCTGTTAAGAGCTCAGGCCCTCGGATTGGAATCCCAGTGCTGCTACTTGTTAGCAGTGTGAGCCTCAGTTTCCTCATCAATGAAATGGGAATAACAGGAGGACCACCCTCAAGGGACTGACACCGGGGTTAAATAAGATGGTGAGAAAAGGCCTGAGCGCAGATCCATTCGGGGCGAGCGGGGAGGAGTGAAAGGTGTGGACCTGCTCATGTCCCGGCCGTTGCCAGGGAGTCCCTGAAAACTTGGAAACTATAACCACCAACGCGGACTGGTCTAAACACCATCGGGGCATGGTCACATCCATCATAACAGCATCAGGAGGCCCCAGGAGGCAGCCATGGAAATCAAAACCACGGAAATCAAAACCACGGATCTATTAGAAAAACTCAGGTGGGATGCCGAGGTCACTTCCGGTTGTCACCGGCTCCATCACACGCCTTTTACTTTCTGTATGTGAGGCTCCGTCCCCGTCCCCTCCGGCGCCGCCCACAGATCCTCCCACACTCTCAGCTGCTCCTCAGCTGCTCCCCCCGCAGGTCTCCTCCCCGGAGCGGCAGCTGAAAGCACTTTTCATGTCTCAGAAAGCAAACAAGCCTTGCAAACGCAGGGCGGGGGGGTGAGGGGAGAAAAATCGAATACATCACAGACAGCCTTAATAAGGCGATCTTTCTGTTCCAGGGCTCCCTGTAATTGTCACATCAGGCACCGCCTTTATAATTTGGAAGTTAAATGAATGAGAGAGGCTGCGCCACAGCCGTGTTCCCAAGCAGGCCTCCAGCTGCACACAGAGCACACGGCGCTGCCAAAGCTGGTGCGGACACAAAGCCCCGGAGATAGCTGTGGGCACAGCCCCTGGCCACCCAGCCCCGCTCCCTGTCCCCTGCCCCCGGCCCCGTGACTGCAGAGGCTGAAAGCCCAGCCTGCTTTCCTAGGCCCCTCGAAGCTGGGGCAGCAACGGGACACGGGACCCAGGACCCGGGACCCGGAACACGGGACACGGCTGAGCTGGGCTGAAAGCGCATCAGTGGGCTCTTGCTGGGGATGCGAAGGAGTTTCTTGCTTTCCAGCTAGAGAAGTAGTCAGTCGCCCTGCCCTTTCACGGGGATTTATAAAAGCACATATCTGCCCCTCGCTGGTTTGGCTCAGTGGATAGAGCGAGGGCCTGTGGACTGAAGGGTCCCGGGATCGATTCTGGTCAAGGGCACATGCCTGGGTTGTGGGCTTAATTCCTAGTGGGGTGTGTGCAGGAGGTAGCCAATCGATTCTCATCATTGATGTTTCTATCTCTCCCTTCCTCTCTGAAATCAATAATTAATATATATATTTAAAAATCACATATCTGCCCTGAAGCGGTTTGGCTCAGTGGATAGAGGGGTCAAAGGTTCGGTTCCAGTCAGGGGCATGTACCTTGGTGGGCACATCCCCAGTGGGGTGTGAGGGAGGCAGCTGATCGATGTTTCTCTCTCATCGATGTAAAAAAATAAATAATATATATATATATTTTTAAAAAGCACATATCTGACCACGCCATTCATCAGAGACCTTTAAGTTTCCCACGCCACCATGATAAAGTGCAAATTCCTAAAGACCTACGGGCCTTGCCTGATGGCCCTGACCACTGCCCCAGTTTCCCCAGCCCCACCCCTCTTGCTCTCTGATATTCCACTACACTGGCATTCCTTCAGTTCCTCAAACTGTCGCACAGATGTCTGTTTTAGGGTCACCCACGGGGTTGTTCCTCATTTGGGAGGCTCCCCTCCAGCTTTAGGGCCCACTTCACCCTTGTTCACCTGTCTGCGTCCTAAACAGGGAAATTTCCAATTTCAGATATTACACTTTTCCGTCCCACAGTTCATTTGTTTTTAATAGTTTCCATTTCCCTTGTGAGATTCCCCATTGGTCACTCATTATGACCATCTATTCCTTGAAGTTCCAGACCAGTTATATAATAAATGCCTCTGGCTTTATTTCCCAATTCCAACTTCTGAGTCACCTCGGCATCTATTTCCTTTTTTAAATTTGTATTTCTATGCCTTTTTAAACTTGGACGATGGGTCGCATTTCCTGATTCTCGGCAAAGCTAGGACATTTGTTGGACATCACAGGTGGAACCAGCCCGGCGGCGGGAGTCTGGATTATGTTGTCTCTCTTCAAAAGTGTTGAGTTTTGTTCTAAAAGTTCCTTGTGAACCTGTCAGGCCTTTTTATTTTATTTTATTTTTTTAACTAAGGTGAGTCTATTTTAATTTTGTCCTCATTCCTAGAGGGTTACCTGTATGCCTATTACATGGCTTTGTGGGGGTGTCACATGCATACTTTTGCCTGGGCCGTGACTCCAAGGTCTCGGGGCACCATGCAGCCCCTGAGGCCCTGCCCTCTCTCAGTCCCTCAGCAATCATTTCCACCGGGCCCGCTGGCGCCCCGCAGCCCTCAGCCAAGAACCTGCAGCGAACACAGATTGCTGCCCACTCCTACCACTCCCACTCCTTCTGATTTTCAGGGCAGACCAAGCACTGACCTCCAAAGACAGCTTTGCCAATAAATCTGCACAGGAGTTCAGCAAGAACCCAGCAAGTCACCATGGTAACTAGCGTTTCTGATGAACAGCTGAAAATTCACACTTGACAATTTAAAGAATGCCCCTCAGTTAGGTTATTACATTTCCAACTCAAGGCAGAGGTCAAAACAGAAGAGCTAATTAGGTGGCTTCGACACAAAGCCTGCGACAGAGCCATCGGACGGGTCTGGAGCCGGCCTGTCAGCAGAGAGGGGCTCCCTGCCGGGAAGTCACAGGAAGCTGCGTCCCCAGCCTCGTGCTCCTCCTCCGGGTTCTCCATGGCACTGGGTGCTTACAAGGAGAGGGCACTGTGCTAACCAGTTCCAGCGAGTAGTTTTCCAAATCCATACCTGTGCTCAGTTGTGTTCTGAATAAATGGTAATGGAAAGACAGCCTCGTTTAAGAAACATCTTTTAACCGAGGGGAAACAGGAGGCGGGGGGGGGGGGGGGGTGGGAGGGGGGGGAGGAGAAAGAAAGAAACGTCTTTTGAGTGAGAGAACTGGGGGTCATCTATCCATATGGCGTTGGTGGTTGGTGCTGCCCGCCAACATGCACGCATTAGTGGGGAGCCTGCAGGCATTAGTGGGAGGCTGGGGGCATCAGTGGGAGCCTGCAGGCAGTAGTGGGAGGCTGCGGGCATGAGTGGGAGGCTGTGGGCATCAGTGGGAGGCTGCGGGCATCAGTGGGAGGCTGCGGGCCCACACTCACCTTGGCGTAAGCGGTTGTCTTGAGAAACCACTGCCTGAGGTACTTCTGCTCAACCTTCGCTCCAGAGCGCCATGAACAGCCCTGCTCATCCACCTGTTCGTTGGCCAGCACTGTTTGGTCCACAGGGTCCCAGTTAACCAGAGCCTGTACCAACCATGAAACAAACAAACAAAAAAATTAAAAATAACAATAAGTACCTGGCTGGTGTGGCTCAGTGTTTGAGCATCCACCCATGAACCAGAAGGTCATAGTTCCATTCCAGGTCAGGGTATATGCCCTGGTTGTAGGCTCCATTCCCAGTAGGGGGAGTGCAAGAGGCAGCTGGTCTATGATTCTCTCTCATCATTGACGTTTCTATGTCTCTCTCCCGCTTCCTTCCTCTTTCTGAAAATCAACAAAAACCGTATTTTAAAATAACAGTGCTTATCAAGCCAGGATATTTTAGTGCCCAAACTCTGTACTCAAGCCTTGAGTACACAGAGATAAAATAATAACCTTAGACATGAAAACTCTAGGTCAGTGGTTGGCAAAACTGAGGGTCGTAAGCCACATGCGGCTCTTTGGCCCCTTGAGTTTTTAGCAAAGGCCAGCTTAGGAGTGCCCTAATTAAGTAAATAACAATGTACCTATCTATATAGTTTAAGTTTAAAAAATTTGGCTCTCAAAATAAATTTCAATTGTTGTATTGTTGATATTTGGCTTTGTTGACTAATGAGTTTGCTGACCACTGCTCTGGCTAATAAACCAAAGGTGATTTACTTATCTATTATTACTGCCTAAATTAGGGATTAGGAGGGATTCTATTTAAAATAAGGTAGCCCTAGCTGGGTGGCTCAGTGGATAGAGCATAAGCCTGCAGACGAAAGGGTACCAGGTTCAATTCTGGTCAAGGGCACACATCTCGGTTGCAGGCTCCTCTCTGGCCCAGGTTCTCGTAGGGAATCCTGTAGGAAGCAACCAATCAATGTGTTTCTCAAGCCCATAACCCCAGTATGTGCCCTTAACCGGAATCAAACCCAGGACCCTTCAGTTCGCAGGCTGATGCTCTATCCACTGAGCAACCCAGCTAGGGCTACCTTATTTATTTTAAGTGGTATCCCTCCCAACCCCTAATATAGGGAATAATAGTAGATAAGTAAATCACCTTTGGTTTATTAGCCTAGAGTTTTCATGTCTAAGGTTAATATTTTATCTCTATGTACACAAGGCTCAGGGGGGCCCTGGAATGAGGGAAGTCACTCACGACTGTCCCTCCCTCTTCCAATCTCCCTAAAAACCAATGGAAAAATATCCTCAGGCAAGGATTAACAATAAATAAATAAATAAATAAGGTAAAAAGAAAGAGCCAAGTTTGTTTAGTATTGTGGAAAGTTCTTTCAAATGGCAGCCTACTGCCGCCCCCACGCCCTCCCAAAACACCCACACAGAATTAAAACCGTATAAAATATAAACCGGAGATAAAAAGCCCTATATGCTTCCATCTGTGCCTCCCACCCCACCAACCTCAGAGGATCAAGAAGCAAACATTCAATACTGCCGATTGCAAAAACAAACAGGACTTCATTTTCTTATCAGCAGTTCCCACATGGCCCGGGCATCTCCCCGGCTCCAGGTTACAAAAGGCAAGAAGGAAGACATGTTCCTGAGAGGTTTACAAGTTATAACAAAACCTTGGTGTCGGATGAGAGACAAATAAAAGCAAAACACAAAAGCAATTTCTTCCCCCAGCGAAAGTCTTGGGGGACCAGGAAAAACACCAAAGGAAATAGCATTTCAGATCAAAGATGCATCAGCTGTGAGAAATCTCTCCTTTCTTCCCACGATCTGCCTCAACCACAGAGAAGCAGGTCCGGCTCAGCCTTCCCTGGGGACAGAGGGGGGGGGGGCTACCCCAGGGGCAGCCGCAAGGCAGGGCCCTGGCATCCGGGCTGGCACAGCACTAGCAGCCTCTCCACATCTGGAGCTGCTCCCAACGCCCTATCCCGGGTCTCCTCTCACTACCGGCCTCCAGCACACAGCCTCGCTGGGAGCCAGGGCTCTTGACAACATGCCCGATGCCCACGCTGTGAACACGTACTCTGGTGGACACCCTGACTGTCAGGCAAGCACAGTCTTGGTACACAGAACACAATTTCTCGACAACCTCACCTGGCCGACGTACGCTCTCTACTCCCCACCGAGGCCAACTCCACCTCCTCTGCAGTTCACCGGCCACATTGGCAGGATCTGGATTTTTACAATCAACCTTCCGTCCACACTTAAGCCACTGAAACCCCTGCAAACACCCTGAGCTCCAGCCCACCTGGCCACTGCTTCCCTCACGCTGTTATCTGGTAACTCCGTATGTCCCCGCTGACCCAGGGTTAACACGGGATTCGCCTTTTTTTGCTGCCTGGGTGCTGCACGGGAAGCTTATAGAAAGCATTTAGGAAATGCATTCCATGACACTGTTAGGCAATCAGGGATACCGGCGGCTGCGGGCTCCAGGGGGATTCTCAAGGAGGTGTCTGTCATCCTGAGTTTGTACGCTCCCTTCTCTGTGACACAGCAGCTGCGGGGCCCCTCCTGTGCCACCCCTCACCCTCTTCATCTCATCTTCCTCTTGCTTGGTTCTCTTCCCCTCACCGCACTCTGCACAGGATCCCTGTCCCGCCCAGATCACCCTCTGTCAGCTTTTGTCTCCCGCCCTCCCCCCGGCCTCCGGCTCCTCCCCATCGTCGGCCTTGCTGCTTCCTCCCAAGGCCCCGCCTGGCCACCCCTTTTCTGAGGACAGGGACATGCAGCTTCTGGCTCCAGAAGGCTGGTCCAGTATGTGGTTCAAAGTATTGATTTCCTCAAAGTTTACTAGCTTTTCTCTTGACAAAAGGATGCTTAATTAAGAAACACCACGTATTGCAGCTACCAAGAAACCAGCAGCTGAGAAGAAGCCTGCAGAAAAGAAACCCACCACAGAAGAGAAGAAGCCCGTGGCATAAACTTAAATTGCTTATTCCACAACGGTCAAGTCACTTTGGACAGCTAATTTTGAATAAAAATATGATCAAAGGCAAAAAAAGAAAAGAAAAAGAAACACCACATAGATCCTATTAAAGGATGTAATTCTCAAGATTGATATTGCTCCATTCCATCCAGAACGGGCCCCATTTGGACGGAGCCCAAGGGGAGGGGGTGGGTGCCCAAGGCTGCTGCCACCACCTCCGCAGCCCGGGGGCAGAGTGGGAGGCTGGAGACGAGGCCGCACTGCACAGCAGCTCAGGGGGCGGAATCAGCCCTGCCACCAGCGGCCACGGAAGTCCTGGAGACGGCCAACGGACACACTCCTAGACAGGCGCTCTCCTCTCCGCAGCTCCCAGAATGTCCAAGCCCCAGGCAACATCACTCCTTTCTCTCCCAACTACACCCACGGAACCATCTCTTTTCAATCACAGAGGCAAACTCATGTTCTCCCAAGCACAGGCCTTGGAAAGCTCGTGTCTGCCCATCCTGAGCTCACAGCTTCATTGGTGCTGACACTGTACCGTGAAATATGTCAACTTTTGGGAGAGCTGCCTACCACTGTACTGTGTTTTCCGAATGCCTAATGTCTGATGTTACAAAGTCATGCAGGGGTGAAAAACCCACGCAAAGTGCGAGACAGACCAGTCCAATCCGTTTTAATTTAACAGCGTACGAAAAGGTCACTGATGTTTCAGATTCAACGCTGCAGCTCAAGTGTAAGGGACCACCGCTTGTTGACTTTCGCTACAGTATCAAAGGAGAATATTCACAATTATGGGAAGTGGTTATGAAGTCACCCTTCCACTTTTAACAGGTTCCGTTCATTCAGGCTTCTGGTATTCACCACTATGACTTTAAATAATAAAAGAATGCTTTGATTTCAGATATTGTCTTTGGACCGTTCTGGGGACGCTGGGCCATGCGTGGTGGATACTCCGCCTGGTCGGCCATCCAGCCTTCCTCCCACCCTTGACTCCTCTTCTAGTTCGCCCTATTTAAGTTAGCTTTCATAGCTACCTTTCTAACTTAAAAAAAACGCATAGCTGTGAACCTCTAACTTTTCACCTCTGACTCCTTGCTGGGAAAGATGAAGGGATGGTCTCGCACTTGCTTCTATTTTTCTTCCCCAAGTTCACCTCCTGGTTTTTGTTGCTACCTTATTTTTATGTTGTCAAGGTTCAAGACATCTTTGTTTTATTCTGAAATTCGAGTGGAGCTTTCTGCATCCATCTCTATATTGATTCTAAAGCGTTCCAAAACCTAACAATAATGATTCTATAAGTAGTATTCATTGTAAGGTCAAGCAGTGTGAAGTGAGTGACCCACAGAACAGTGAATGTAATTGTGTCACCAGATCCCTCTGGTCAAAGGAGAGTGCCGTTTCCACTTATTACTTCTGGATCTTCTAGACTCACGCTGTCTAGAGGATTCTCTGTGATGATGGAAAGTGTTCTAGATCCGTGATGTCCAATCTTCGCTACTCTAGCACATGAATGAGGACCTCAATCTTAATGCTAATGAATCGCCATTATTTTAAACTGAAATATCAACATCACACGTCGTTGGTGGCCACAGTACTGGACAGAGAAATTGTAGGCCACACTGTGATCCTCCCCTCCTCCCCAGCATCTCAGGAGCGGCCAGTTACTGAGCTCCCACCATGACACGCTCCTCGCCTCCTTGGGAGACCACTCTGTAGGCACTGTCCTCCCAAGACCCTGCAATGATGATGTTACCACTCACTGGGCAGGGACAGAACCACACTTCCGGGAGGTGACTGACCCAGCGCACAGCTGGGAGGGGTCGCTGGGCTAGGGCCTGGGAAGCCTGCGTCCTCCACTGCTCCCCTTCCTGATCTCAACCCAGGCACCAGACACTGTTACATGCTGGGAATCCAAGTGCGAAAGGACCAAGCTCTGCCCTGGTAGCAGCAAACTAAGCCAGGCGTCACTACTTTCTGGATCTGCTGTGACCAAGGCCATGATCTTGAGGTCATGTTCATTTTCACCATTTTCATGGGCAAATAGGGCGCATTTGTTTCTTGTTTAACAATGGTGTGTTCTGAGCAGACGGAGGCGATTTATTTAAAGGGCAGCAAACTTGGACTTACCTCCTTCTGATAGGCCAGGCCAGCGTCGTAGAGCTTGATAAAGAGGTACTGAGTCCACTTATAGTAGTCTGGGGAACACGTGGTTATTTCCTGTCAGAGAGGGAGAAGAAGTCACCCACTGGCCACTGGGAACACTCGCCCCCACACCACGTACGCACCGGCCTTGCAGCATTTTGAAAAGCAATCTCACTGCAAACATGTGACCGGCTATCCTACTTTCCACCCATTTGTAAAGCGAGAGAAGAGAGACGTGATTGAAATGCCAACCCCAGCCCTGGCTGGCTTGGCTCAGTGGATAGAGTGTCAGCCTGTGGACTGAAAGGTCCCAGGTTCGATCCCAGTCAAAAGGGCACATGCCCAAGTTGCAGGCTCAATCCCCGGTGGGGAGCATGCAGGAAGCAGCCAATCAGTGGTTCTCTCATCATTGATTCTATCTCTCTCTCTCTCTCCTTTCTTCTCTGAAATCAATAAAAATATATTTAAACATACAAACAAATAAAAAAGAAGAAGAAGCTGAAACCGGTTTGGCTCAGTGGTAGAGCGTTGGCCTGTGGTCTGAAAGGTCCCAGGTTCGATTCCAGTCAAAGGCATGTACATTGGTTGCGGGCACATCCCCAGTAGGGGGTGTGCAAGAGGCAGCTGATTGATGATTCTCTCTTATCGATGTTTCTAACTCTCTATCCCTCTCTCTTCCTCTCTATGGAAAATCAATAAAATATATTTAATTTTTTAAAAAAAAGAAATGCCAGCCTCACCTTTCCTGTTTAAAGATGAGAAAATCAACCCGAAGTCTTCTGCACTCCCCTCCCTCCACCCATGCAACGAACATATGAATTACGAAATGGGGTTCTATCATTTTTGTCAGCGCAAGCATAGCCGGGGGGCCACAAAACTGATTCGTGAAAGCAGTTCATTTTTAAAGCAATCATAAAATCCAAGAGGAGTATTTTCCTGCTTTTATACGATCTCCATTTGAAAATAAACCTTGTGTTCGCACATATCCCCATGGCCTCGTATCTCCTTCAGTCTCGTTCTCCCCCATGTACTCCACTATGTGAGTCAGGCTGGCATCGACATAGAAAGACCCACCAAAATCATTACCAAGTATTAAACTCAGTGAGAAAGCGTCTGACTTGTATCTCCAGCCTGAACCGGAGCCTCCCCACACTTACTTTCTGTCCTGAAAACACCTTTGCTATGGAATCTTGAAAGGCAGGTTACTGATTCCTCCCTGTATAGCCGGGCAGATAAGGTCAAGAGGCACAGAGACCTGCACTCTCACTGCTTCCTTCTCCTCTCTCTGCACACAGCAGCTAACAGCGGGATGGACGGAGGACAGGGCACATTCCCAATGGTTCCACCCGTGCGGACATCCGCCTTTCTGCAGATGGAGGAGAGCTGAAGCCCAGCGGGGAGGGCGAGGAGGGCCGGAGCGGAAGAGGGGGTCTGGGAAACTTGAGGTGCTCCCAATGGGCTACCTCTCCTAGGTAAGATTCTTGTGTATTACGTTTTTTTATGTGCTGACTAATAAAAAGAGCAGAGAAATCACTACTAGAAAACAAAGAACTCTGACTGCCAGATCTACTCCCCACTCCCCTGCAAGGCAGAGAGTGGACAACCAGCCCATCTAACAGCTCTGCCCCTATGGTAGCTGACCCCCGGGGGCCGGCCCCATCAGTGCCCCAGCTGTGGCACTGAGTGCTGAGCTGTGAGTGCCAAAGCCAGCCCCAGCTCCCAGGCTGCACACACACACACACACACACCCCCACCCCCAGTCTGCAGGAGCTACATGCGCCAAGTGCCTCACCAACTCAAGAATGGGACCAGCACACTGTGGGCGGGCTTGCTCCCCAACACCTCCAAATTCACCCTCATGCCAGGACCGGTTCCTCACCAGCTACCCCTCCTCATGCCACAGAACTCCTTTCCTTCCGTTTCCCAGACAAGCAACTGAAGAATCTGCATTTCTTTATTTTTTAATTTTTTTTTTGGGGGGGGGGACAAGGGGAGAGGAAGGGAAAGACAGAGAAACATCGACTTGTTGTTCTACTTGTTGATGCATTCATTGGTTGATTCCTGTATAAGCCCTGACTGGTGATGAAACCTGCAACCTTGGCATATCAGCATGGCGCTCCAACCATCTGAGCTACCCAGCCCGGGCAAAAACTTGTATTTCTAATAATACCGGGGCAGGAGCTATGTTTAGATGTTTGATTTGCTCATCACTGTCTGCTCAGGTCCTGGCACGTTGAGGCACCCCAAAATTATTGTTGAATGAAGAATAAACTAAACAGACCAGCCCATCTAACGCCTGCCATGTTGAATGAAACTAAATTCAAATTACGTTGTAAGTCTATAAGATGAACTAGGGCAGGGGATGCAAGAATGTGGTAAAAATATTCCCAGACTTGTTATGGTTTGTTTTTGCAAATTTTTATTCATTAGAAGTTTTAAAAAGTGCGTGAGCTAATATGAAAAAAATGAGTTAAATTTAGGAGGTGACAGTTCTCTTTTCTCTACTTATCTGTATCACTAAGTTTTTCATAATAAAGCATCAAAATACTTCCATTAAACACATGTAATATGCGTATATATTACATGCATGTATGTGTTTTCTCAGCCCTGAATCTGCTTCTATAGATTGAGAATAAAAACTATACAGCAACAGACCAGTGTTATTATCTTCCTCCAGGTTTATGGTTTTGAAAACCACTTTCACTTGAATAGAAGAAAGCTCACAGGTCCAGTCAGAGGGAAGAAAGATGGCTGTCCAGCCGAGCATTAGTCTATTTCACCCGCCAGGAATTCGATCTCTTTGGAAGAGCCAGCTCCGAGGTGCGCTGAGTGGTGGGCACTGCAGGCCTCTCCCCACCTGCCTTCAGACTGGGTCTGACCCGTGTTGTTCACAGCGGGTTTCGTATGTCATTGGAGGAAAAGTCATGCCAGCTGCTGGAAGGGTACAGCTCGCAAACCAGTACTCCAGGACCATCACCCACTCCCGACTGTGGAGAGAAAGTTCTGTGCTGTGACCGCGGTGGGACCTGCGAGCTGGACCTGGGCCAGAGCGGGAGAGGGCCCACTGCAGCCCCCTTAGAGATGGACCGAAAGCGATGCTCATTCTGACATAAGTCAGCGCCACTCCCTTGCTTCCTGCGATGAGCAAGTTCCTGGAACAGGCTGTTTGCAGGCTGGTCAAGCATGTAAAGTAATTTCCACACCTGGAAGCATGCACGTACCAGCACCCGTGACTGGTGCCCGCCAAGCAGCGTGAAGATCCATTTATTTCCTCTCGCAGCCTCCACGTGCCTTGTGAGTTTGCCCTCATAAACTCTGTTAATTACCAACGGGGTGGCAGCCTCTACCTTCATCTCTCCTGCCCTCTGTTACAGAGGGAGATTCTCAGTGCCAGGAACGTGCCCTGTGTCTGCATGTGTGTACCACTCACACAGTCCCCTCTGAAGGGCCAGTGTCCCCAGCCCAGAAGAAGCTGGGAGTGCTCCTGCCCATTTATTCCCATCTGCTACACACAGGGTCCACTAGGGCCCTCGGTATCATCCTCTCCATGAAGAAATGGCAGACCAGGTGCTCCAAGGCTCCCTAGTCCAGTCTCATGAGAACCACAAACATGGTGGGGAGAGACCCTGCTCAAAAAAGCATTTCCTAAAAATATCAGAATGCTTCTGGAATCTTTCTTGATTTGCTGGGTTTAAAGACAACCCAACAAAACAACTACTTCTAATACTTCATCTCAGAAAAAAATCACCAAAAAGGGGACATCTGAAATAGTCTCAACAATAAAGTTAAAAAAGACATCTTTCTGAAATTAAACTGCTAAAGCTTTCCCTTTAGTCTGGCTAAAATGGAGACTCCCTTTCACATTTTCCCTAAGAACTTCTTACTTAACCCAGCTCTGTAGACAAGGCTCTCCTGGGCTTTCAGCACCAGAGATGCTCACTGCCCTTCCTCCCTCCTCCTCCTAAAGCAGCTCCCAAGGACACCTGGTGATACCTGGAGACACTCTGTCTGTCACACTGTGGTGGGGGAGGGTGGTGTTGACATAGTGGGTAGAGGCCAGGGATGTTGCTAAAATCCCTTCCATGCACAAGACAGTTTCTAGAACAAAAAATGATCCAAGTCCAAGCGTGCCACTGCTTGGTGGGTTTTGATTTTTTTAGTTTGAGTCTGTAACCTCAGGCAGATTAGAGCCAAGCAACTTTCCGATAAGCATTCCACACGAAGGCATAAAGCGTCCTTGGGGAAGTGGCAATGCCAGCCTCTGCGCTTGGGCTCCCCTTCTCCATCTGCTGTGACCCCCGAACTGCCCAGCACATGGGACAGGGCCCTCATTCCCAGGGAGCTCGCCCCTCCTCCCAGCTCTGAGATCCACCCCGGGGGAGTCTGGGGTGTGGGCAGACACAGTTCTGAAACTCGGTTATGCATGCAGAGTGCTGCTCCCTGGGCATGAGTGATTGGTTTTACTCCCCAAATGTTAAATCATTTAATAGCACTCCAAGTGGCTGTCTGACTTGGAAAACCTCTTGTAATAAATCCATGCAATACAGTTCCTATTGTGAAGTTAGAGAGGCGTATCATTTTTCTCGATACATCAGTTCACCGCCTTCCATGAAAAGGCTGTTGACAAGTGTTGAAAGATCATCAGTTGGAATCTGGCCCACAGCACCCAAATGTCTTGGCCCAGCCCTGCCTGTACCCCAGGGGAGCCCACTGTCTGTGGGATGGGGATTCCTGCTCCCCCACCCCACCCCATTCCTGCGGTGGGAAAACACTGACTTGGGAAGACTTCTTAGTCAAACGCAGGCTGTTTACTCTGTTCCAGAACCCTCTTCATTCTTTTTATTTTATTTATAAATATATATATGTATTTATTTTTATTTTTATTTTATTTTATTTTTTTACAGAGTGGCAGAGGGACAGAGAGCTAGAAACATCGATAAGAGAGAAACATCAATCAGCCGCCTCCTGCATATCCCCCACAGGGGATGAGCCCGCAACCAAGGTACATGCCCCCTAACCCGAATAGAACCTGGGACCCTTCAGTTCACAGGCCGACACTCTATCCACTGAGCCAC